TACATGTCTGATGTGTAAATTCAGTGATGGGTTTCAAATAACTTCACCACTGGTTCACCGAAAATGTGTCCACGCATGCACAGACAGCTTCTGTGCATGTGTGCGCAATGGCTTCCACGCATGTGCGCAGATGGATTCTGTGCATATGCGCGGATGGCTTCCGTGCATGCGTGCACAGACGTCTTCCACCACGTGGCGAGGCTCGACCAAGCAGCCTTTTGGGGCCTGTTCCCTCCATCTCTGCTCTCCAGGGCAGCAGCTGCTTCTCTCCGCGCTACTGGGAGAGCATCTTGTGCAATTTAGAAGTTGTGAGCCGCCGCTTTCCTCTAAGTCTCATCTGGAAAGCGCTGTGGCTGACAGAAACAGCATTCAACATGGCTACTGCTTCTCTGTGCTGCAGCACTTTCTGGATGGGACTTAGAGGAAAGCGGCGGCTCACAGCTGCTAAATTGCACAAGACGCTCTCCCAGCAAGAGCAGCAGCGGAGAGAAGTAGCTGTTGATCCAAAGGTCATATGGAGTGTCTCTGCAAGTGACCAAGGCTCAGCAAAGGAAGAAGCGGCTGAAAGATCTCTGCTGCAGCGCTTTCTGGATGGGACTTCTTACAGGTAAGAACCGTCCAGTCCATTCCCAAACCGCTTCAGCTCTCCTGCCTCCCCCACCCCCTCCGCGGCCCTTTGGCCTAGCACTGCAGGCCACAGGCCAAATAAACTGCTTCGACCCTGGGAGCCGTAGTTTGAGGACAGAGGGAGGGGCAGCATGTGGGTGGTGGCCTGAGGTAAGGCCGAAGCAGCTGAGGTGAACAGGAAGTGGACGGAGGCTCCAGGGAAAGGCCAGAGCCGGAGAATGGCACGTTCCCTAACAGGACAAGGCGAAGGATGAAGCAATCCAGGCAAGCTCCGGGGACGGGGGGGCGGGGGCAGCTAGCTAGGCCACAGTGCCCCATGGGATGCAGCCACAATGGCGAAGCAAGCCAGACAAACTGGAGGCCAGGGAAGGGGCGGGGCAGATAGCTAGGCCGCAACTTACAGGCTCACTTACCCAGACAGCCAGATCAGGGCCGTTCAGTTGGGCCGCAGGCACTCCGTGGGAAGGCAGGCAAGCTACAGAGACTGTGTGGTCAACGCAAGCGAGGAACCACACAGTGTGCTATGCCGGGAAAGCGAGATGAGAACTGACTGAGCAGGGTAGGTGGCGAGTGGGCGGGGCCAGCCAGAAGTGGTATTTGCCGGTTCTCCAAACTACTCAAAATTTCCGCTACTGGTTCGCCTGAACCGGTCCAAACCGGCTGAATACCGCCTGTGTAATTTCAACATTGAAACATTTTAGGCAACCCATTGTACTCCCTCACTTGTTCATTATCACCCTTAACACCCTTAAAAATGAAATTGCAAAGTTTCAAACCCTGTTACAGTATAGACCGGAAGCTGTTTTTAAAAATTAATTTATTTACTTCCACATGCAAAGAGTCAGACCCATCTAATGAACTTATTTGGATCATAACCTAGATATACTGCTCCAATTCTAGCAGCAAGAAACAAAAGGTCATTAAAAGTATCTTATGTCATGGACCTAGCAGAGTTATCCTATTACAGAAACATTTTATATTAAGAATGCTGGATTGCGCTGGTTAATAATTGCAATATAGGTTTTCGTATTTTAAGAATGCTGAATTATTATTTTGGTCTTATTTCTTACAATAGTTATGTGCATCAGTTAGCCAGTAGAAAAAAAATCTAAGCAGACCATAGAATCCAACCCCTTTTAAATCAAAAGGCATTGGTTGTTACATCAGCCATATTATTATTCTTTTAAAAAATTATCTGTCTTCTACATGAGGTTCCCATTGACATCCCAGTGTTTTGGAAGGCTGTGATGTGGCTGGAATGATTAAAGATCCTTTTTAGTACTGTATGTAGGTTTTCCCCATTTTTGCCTGCTTTTTGCTCCTTGATTATTATTTTTTTCCCATGCATTTTTCTTTTGTGAACCATTAAAGCTGCTGGGAGTCAATGGTACACAAATTTTATTAACAACATGCATGCCTGATTAGACAAAAAAGTAAAAAGTCTTCTGGAATGAACAAATTGGTTACCCGCTTCAATGAATGCTAGTCATATCAAATGGAAAAGAGATACTCTGCAATATTTCGTATGCATGAACACTGTATGTACTGTTTCTTCCAGCCTCCACACTGGTATAAAAATCTTGAGCTTCTCAGTGACGATATAATCCTCTTTGGAACATTTCAAATGCAATCACTCTAAGGATAAAAATCTATCATCTCGTATCAAGATCATGTATTTCCTTTAGCATCCTACCTTGTTACAGAATGAGTAACATCTTTTGTGAGCCCTCAGATAAATGCACGTGAGTTCAGTGCCAAGATAAACGTGACACTGTCACATCACTTTGGGAAAAAAATAAATGCTTAAAGCATTCTCCGAGTTTCATTTCACAGTTCACTGGGCGTTGCCCTTTCATGCAGAAGAAATGTTGCCAAACTCCTTTGCAATAAAAGCACTATCAAAAGTCAGTAGCGTTATCATGATAATTCTTCAACATTCATCACATCCAACTTTTAGGCGATCCCATGGATGTTTGGGTAGGATACCACAAAGAAAATTAAATCTGTGACTTGCAGCAGGATGACTCTATTGTGGCAACAAATCCACCCCAACAACTCATTTTAACTCATGTTTTGATTATTATTTCACATGATAAAAATATAGATAGAAGGGTTGTGTCTTGTAAACAAGTTATTACTTCTACTCGGATTACACTAAAACTACAAGTGCTTAAGATGCATGTACTGTAATGCAAAAAAGAATGAATCAGGCCTGGCAATGCTATGCAAGCATTTGGGAACAACACCATGGCTATAAAACTGACATGGCACTACAAAGGTCTTAGGAAAAAACATTTGCTGCAATGCCCTGAAAACATTTAGCAACCAATACATTTATCCTGCTCTCAGTTCATTTACTTGTCCTTCTCAAATAAGATTTTCATATACAGAGTGAAGCAAAATGATATGTTTGGGCTAGATATCTATCCAAATCTTACAAATATGAAATAATGGTGTAATACAAGGGTGTCAAACTCAAGGGTGTTAGATCTAGCTCATGGGGCTGCCCTTGAAACAGCGAAGGATCAGCTTGCGGTGCCGCTGCCAGCAAAAACGGAGCTCGGGAGGGCTCCCAAGCTGTGTTTTCACTGGCAGAGGGTTGCAGGAGGCCGTCCCAGCCGAAAACGGAGCTCGGGAGCCCATTTTCACTGGCAGAGCGCTTAGGCCCCCACAGGAGCCCCCAAAACAAGTGATGTCAAGCTGGCCACACCCATCCTGGCCACGCCCACCCCAGCCCCGCTAAGGTCATACACAACCCTGATGTAGCCCTCAATGAAATCGAGTTTGACACCCCTGGTGTAATACCTCCCTTCAGAAATAAACCACTCAGCTGGAATGCATCTGACAACCACCAAGGAAGGGGATAAGTCTGAACCTTGTGTCATATGGAATTTCCTAACAGGTACCAGCCAATATTATATCCAGATGTAACTGAAGAATCTACAATTCAATATTCCACCGTTTCATTTGTTCAAAATCAAACAATGAAATATTAGCAAAAAAAGAGAGATCTGTTTAGTTTTTGGAGTGTAGGTAAGGGAGGAAATTGTTGGCATAAGTCTACTTGATGGGCAAGCTCGATTATAAACACGCCATTAATTTCTAGTGCGGAGGAATGATGTTGCAATTTTCCATCATGAATAAAAATACTCACATGCTCCTCCCTGGTATTTTTGCAATTTCAACTACCAATCCGGTGAAAGCCAATTTACTAGCACAGGCCTGTAAGAACAGTCACATCACTCAAAGTCCCTTGAATGTAATTCAGTGCAGTGTACACTATACACTGCACATGAGAGCAACATGGAACAAAACAGCGAGTGTAAAACAGGAATATACTATCCCTTTGTTTGCATTTCTGCAGACGAGGCCCCAAATTTAAGTTCCTCCCTTTTTCCCCTAGCGATACCAAACCTCCCTGTGGAGCAAACCTACAGTAACCCCTCCCCAAATTCCTCAGGCACAGCCAATACATCTTCTAACCCCAAATGCACACAATATATAAAGGAAACTAAAAGCCTGCATAGTAATCCATAGACCTGGATTATAAATATCCTGACAAATCACTAGAAGGCAGCAAAAAAAAAAAAAAAAAAATTCAAATTTTCTACTGTTCTCTCAAAAGTGTCCGGATTTATTATTTTTTTTAAACAGTCCTGATAACCATCTAACAAGGAAAGCTACAATTTGGAGAAACAGGGTGTGAGGGTGGGTTGCAGGTTTCCTTGATATAGTAGCCCTTCCTTGCAGCATCCTAGTTCTCTGTTGTTGTGGTGGTTGTTGTTGTGGTGGTTGTTGTTGTGGTTGTTTTAAATCAAGGGCGCGACGACTTCAAGGACTTTGGATTGAAATTGTTTTCAACTCTCCTCAGGTCGTCTTTGCAAGGCGGTCTCTTCTTCTTACCAATCTTCCCTTTGGCAGGCCGTTAGGTTTTAAGGCAAGGAGCGTCGCCCCGGACAAAGGTAAACTTCACGGGAACCAGCAGAGGAAAATTCAAACACCTTAAACCCGACTTTTCCACCTCCCTCCGGAAAGCCCGCCTCCCTCTTCGCCCACCCGGGACCCCAGTTCGGCCTTTACATACATACATACATACACACACACACACACACACACACATAAATGCATGCATACATAAATGCATATACATAAATGCATGCATACATACATAAATGCATGCATACATAAATGCATATACATAAATGCACGCATACATGCATGCACACATACATACATAAATGCATGCATACATACATGCATGCATGTGTGCGCGCACAGACACACCCCTCCTTATTTTTTTTTTTGTACGACCCTTGCAAGTAAAACGCCCGAGAGGCTGAGAGAGCCCTTCCACCCACCCGCGCGCGCCTCACCTGACGGCGACACGGACGGAGCTCTCGTCTGGGCCGGTCGACATGGTTCAAAAAAGGCTGAAGCAAGCAAAAGCTCGGAGGAACATTCAGTCCAAACAGGCTTTGGAGGGGCGGAAAAAAAACAGACCCGGGTGTCTTGTAACGTGTGTGTCCGTCCACCCCCAAAAGACCCTCGAAGAGAAGCGCTTTTTTTAAGGGTTGGTGGTTGCTGCTGCTGCTGCTGTTGCAGCGACGGTGGCGGCTGCCGCCTTCGCTTCACCACCTCCTCCTCCTCCTCCTCTGCTGCTGCCGCCACCACCACCTTCGGCTCTCTCCAGCCATTTTAGGTGGCTGCCTGAATGAATAGGTGCAGCGGCGGCACGGAGAGCTTTTCGTACTCCGCCCACTCCGGCGCTTTATGGACTACTAGGCGAGGAGGAGGAGGATGCGCACCGGCGTCGGCAGCAGCCGCACTAGGGAACTGCTGCGAGCGGTCGGCGGCTCTCGCCCAGCCCCGGCTTCAGCTTCTCTCCAGCAGCCGCAGTGCGAAACGAAGCCCCTCCTCTTGCCGTCGACTCGGTCTGCTCGCTTTGCGGCGCCCCGGCGAGCTCGGCCATCACCGTCGACGACGACGACGACGACGCGGCCGCTCCTCCTGGCAGGGCGGAGTTACGCCGGCTTGGCCTTTCCGCGCCGGCGCCGCGGGCGGAGTCGCGGCCGAGCTCGCAGGTTCGCCTTGAAGCGGCTCTCTTTGATTTTTTTTTGAAGGGGAGCAAGTTCCCCGGTGCGGCCTGTTTGTCTTTGTGGAGAGGAAGAAGCCTTTTTCCCTCAGTCTTTTTCCCATTGGAGTCCACGGGGGTCTATAATATACTACTGTAGTAGTAGTTGCAACAGGTGGCAGCACCTACCTGACGTTGGCTTGTGTAGGAAACAAAAACTAAACGGGGCCAGAGCTGGCTAAGAGTAAAACGGAAAAATAATAGTAATAATAATAATAGTAACAGAGTTGGAAGGGACCTTGGAGGTCATCTAGTCCAACCCCCTGCTCTACACAGGAGACCTATACTAGGGATTCGAACTGTCGACATGATTGACAAGCTCAGCTCAAGCTCGGAATCAAACAATATCCTTGGAAGAAAAGAACAGAAGTGGCTTCGCTAATGTTGCTAAGAAAGCTGCCTGGATTCACCATGAGAAGGGTTGCAGATGTATGTCCTTTTAAAGGTAGTCTTCAACTTGCAACAGTTCATGTAGTGACTATCTGGAGTTACAACAGCACTGAAAAAAAGGGACTGATGATCATTTTTCACACTCATGACTGCGTGCAGCGTCCCCCATATGTGATTTTCATTTGGATGCTTGGCAATTGGTTCATACTTATGATGGTTGCAGGGTCCTAAAATCACATGATCTCCTTTTGTGACTTGGCAAGCAAAGTCAATGGGGAAGTGTTACTAATTTAAGAACTACAGTGATTCTCTTAACAAATGTGAGAAAAATCGTTAAATGGGACAAAACTCACTTAACAAATTTCTCACTTAACAGCATAAATTTTGGGCTCAATTGTGGTCGTATGTTGAGGATTACCTGTACTTCTGTGTACAGCAGGCATATCCTTAAAATCAAATATCTGGCTTTTTGATTACTATCTTTTTTTTTTTAAATGGACCGTGTTCACAACAATCATTCAAGCTTTCATGTATTGTGATCTTGTCAATTGCTGCTTCTTCCCAACTGCCCTAGATTATTTCCTGATTCCAGGCATCAGTTTTAATTGAGCCCTTCAAATCTATAATGACTTATTACACATTCCCAGAGAGAAATGGAAAAACTACCTGAAAAACTAGCTTCTTCAGCTGAAGAAGCTTCTTGGATGAGAAGCAAAATGTCTTCAAAGAAAAACCAGAAAGTCCAGTTGCCTCTTGAAAAAGCACCTTTGGGACAACCATGACCTGGATGACTGAGAATCTCCATAGACAATGCAAGAAAAGATAATCCAGACCAAATGCTCTTGAAATCAGGAGACTTGATTACATTGCTTTACAATTATGCACATTTAGTTGGAAGTCTGTTTATCTCATGAGACCTGGTAGTCTTCTGTTACGTCATTCCTACAAGAACCACTCTAAGGGAATATTTTCAATTAATAGAGATGGTCCAGGAGAATTTGATGGTTGATAGTATCAAAACACATTGAAATGTCACGGAGGATCAACAGAGTCACACTCATTCTGCCTCCCTTTACTGAAATTACCTACCAGTATGATTGTGATTTTGTCTCCCAACCAGGAGACAAAAGCAATTTCACTAATCTGACTTTGCTAATTTGTGACAGATTTTAAATCTCTTTGAGCCAATAATAGTTTTGTGGTGTTCAGGTCTAAAAGGATTATATTGAGTCACTGAATGTTAATAGTTAGTATGACTAATTTACATGGTATAAAAATGCTGTTTGGTAATTACCAAACAGCACAGATTTTTTTTTTTATTCCTTTGCTATTTTGATCCTCCTCTATTCTTTCCACTGTGATAATTCCATTCTTTCCACTACGATAATTCCATATCAGTTCACAAAGATTTCCTCAAATTGAATACTTTCCAGAGAATCCTCCTGACAAAGCAATTTTAAATATTCTGGCAATTTGAACTCACTGTAATCTGTATAAACAGATATTCACAACAGTAGTGGGTTGCAAAACCCATCGCTACCGATTCACTTGTGTGCTCGCGCGTGTGCGCTAGGCTTCTACGCATGCACAGAAGCATCCAGCACGGGTGGGTGGAGCCTCCCACCGCCTCTACCAGTTTGCCGATCCGGGTAGAACCGGGTAGCAACCCACCACTGGTTCACAAGTAGCATTCATGAGAATGTATCACGTAGTAACTTGCAATAATCTTCCTGAATTTGATGTCCTTCAGATATTTTGGAATTATAGCTCCCAAGTTCATAACTGTAAACAAACAAGTGGAGGTTCTGCAGCTACATTTAGCTGTTTCTGAGAAAAAGCAAAACACCCTTTGCCCTTGGAAGAAAAGCAGCAATACATCTACATCAGCAATATTCTACGAATAGAAATTAAGAGCTTTGTGAGAATCCATGAAATGCTCTTGAATCCAGAACAAATGCTCTTGAAATCAGGACTTGATTAAATTGCTTTAAAATTATGTACATTTAGTTGGAAGTCTGTTTATCTCATGAGACCTAGTAGTCCTCTGTTAGGTCATTCCTACAAGAACCACTCTAAGGGAATATTTTCAATTAATGGAGATGGTCCAGGAGACTTTGCCATGTGAAAGGAAGTATACATTCCCGGAAAGCAGTTTAAACTTGCAAACTGGTTTGAGATCACATTTTCCGCTTCTTAAAAATGGGGCATTATAACAAATTGCCAGTGCCTCAAGTCCTTCTCACTCAAGTGATAGAAACCAGTAAGAGAAATATTAAAGATGCTCAAGAATCTTTAATTAATTGTTAATGTTATTAACAATTAATCAATGGAATAGCTTGCCTTCAGAAGCTGTGGGTGCTCTTATGACAGATTTTCAAGAAGAGATTGGACAGCTATTTGTCCAAAATAATATAAGATGGTCTACTTGAGCAGGGAATTGGACTAGAGCTTCAAGATCCATTCCAATCCTGTTATTGTTTTAAAGATCTCTTCCTTTAATTGTGAGTGAGTGAGTGTGAGTGCACTGCTGTGAATACACAACCTCATTGGGAATTGTAGTTCAAGGTCCTGGATTCTTATTTTACAATGAATAAGATGAAGTACCAATAAATAAAATTGCAACACTAGTGGGATATATCAAATCACCTCAATGTACATTTTTTTGATGAACCACATCAAATTTATATTTCATAGATTTAGAAAACAAATGGGTACCAAAAAATTTAGAAGTGGTTTCTCTCAAATAAACAACTCCCCAAAGATGCCTGATTACATTAGTCTTATAAAATCAAGAATTCCCCCCCCCCAGGCATATTAAAACCCATTATGGTTTAGAATGGATGCTTTGTTACTGCTTTAGTGTCATTTCATGCTTTATTTATTGCCATTATTATTACTGGTTCTTATTTTTATTTCATATATTGAACTACTCCTCATGATTCCTTTTGGACTGCATTCTTTGTTCTTTACTTTCTATAGTAGATCCAGAATGTGCTACGTATTCATCATATGCCTACATATTCCCCCTCCTTTATTTGTCCTGATCAGAAATTGCAAAAGACCAAGATGATTCCAATAGCAAAAGAAAATAGGGTGTTCAATCAGAGGAACTTAAAAGGAATGGTAGACCCAAACATATATGTATGTATATTTTGATATAAAGCATTTTAAACATATTGCCCAGCAGGTTCTGACAGATTCTGGAGAACCAGCAAATATCACCTCTGGCTGGCCCCAGAGTGTGATGGAAATGGAGATTTTGCAATATCCTTCCCCCAGGAGTAGGGAGGGAATGGAATTATTATTATTTTTTTGTTTTAATTTATATGCCGCCCTTCTCCGGAGACTCAGGGCGGCTTACAATGCGTTAAGCAATAGCCTTCATACTTTTGTATATTTATACAAAGTCAGTATCCTTCCCGTGGGATGGGAATGGAGATCTTGCAGTATCCTTCCCCTGCCATGCCCAAGCCACACCCACAGAACTGGTAGTCAAAAAATTTGAATTTCACTACTGATATTGCCCCCGATTCCAGAGCAAATCGTAACATACCAACAGATTTCTTTCCATCCACAGATTGCCCAAAGTCCTCATTCTTTGCATGGAGTTTTTTGTACATCCCTAACAACAGCAACTTTATTTTTAGTAAGCCTGTTGCAATTCAAGCAATTAAAACTATTAATGATTAAACAGGGCTTCATGTGCATCAACTTTGACCTTGACATTCCTGTTTTAATTTATATTGTAAATAATTATAGTTTATTACATTATATTTTATTTAAATCTAAAATGAGAATGACAATTCATATGGTCTCTGAAGATTTACTCATTAAGGTCAGAGGGACGTATCTGGAAGTGGAAGTTATAATTTTCAAAATATGTCAAATTATATCACGATGACGACTGTAGCAGCATATTTTGCCCTAATGGCAAATGAGTGCATAGGCCATAGGGCAAAGAGGGTAAAATGTTATTACTTTCATAGAGAAATTCAGTTCAATGTTAAAGAGGGAGCAGATTCCCATAATTTCTATTATTAACCATATACATGAGAATCATCAATAGCTGGAAGGTATTACCACGTAATTCCAAATAATGAAAAACAGAGTTGTTTGCAGGTCATTGTTTACCTTTATTTCAGGTTTAGGAGAGCTTTTTAAACAATGTCATGTGACATATAGTTTTTAGTGGAACAGTGAAAATTGGAATCGTTCTTCACTAATGCTGCAAATAAAAATGAAAGTATTTCTCCTTACATAAAGGACTATTCAACTGCAACTACAATAATCGTATAATAATATATAAATATTATAAGTAATTTTCCTCAGTTACAAAGATTTGCAATCTGTTTGTGCAGACTGTCTGCATTATCCTCCCAATCTGGAAATTTGAATTTATGCTGTTCTAAGAGAAAGTAACATTTTGTGACCATAGGCACTAGAATGCTTACTATGAGTTTTGTTGATTAGTTTTTTATCAAATATTTTGTTTATAGAAAATAAAAGCCATTACAATTTACAACGGAATTTTGTATCCATGTATATGTGGCTAAAATTAAAATATTAACCTCACCTAAGACATGCTTCCCAGATTGTCCATTTATACCTAACCTGTCCCAAACCTAGTTGCAACATTTCTTCTAAACCAACTGGGAAACCACCTGAGAAAAACCAGCCCAAACGTACCTTTTCAAAAGTAACTGGGCTTTGTTTTTGCTTTTCTTGAAGACATTTCGCTTCTCATCCATAAAACTTCTTTGGTTCTGACTGAATGGTGAAGAATGGAAGGATTTATATTCCTTGCGGTCATCTGATCGTAAGCATTCTCTCGAGAGTTGTTGAGGGAACTTAAGAGATTTGAATAGTGCAAATGGGTGTGGGACCTTATTGGAATTATTGAAAGGACTGTGTTGTAGACTGGAGATAGATTATATCGCATTCCTCTCCCTCTGTTGAGAGGCAGCTGTTCAATTATAGTGTAGATAGCCTCTTTGACCCCTTTCAAATCAATGGCCCTCTCTATCCAGGATGTGGACTTTGCTGTCTTCAAAAGAGTGAAGCCATTTGGCAAAGTCCACATTTGCACTATTCAGATGACCCTGAGGGCAAAGATAAAACCTCCAAGTGGCCTCAACAACTCTCAGAGAGTGCTAACAACCAGATGACTGCAAGGAATATAAATTCTGAAAAAACACTTTTAGGACAACTATAACCTGGATGATTGAGACTCTCCAAAGACAACAAGAGAGGCTTTGTTAAAGTTTTGAAGAATTAAAAGAATACAGTTCTGGGACATTAGTTGAGTGGACTAAAAATCAAGATTATTAAAGTAAAAGGAGAGTGTAAAGTTGATTTAAGAATATAAATTAAAATATGTGATTTCTGGTAATCTTTAATGGACTTTTACTGATCAGAACTGAAACAATGAGGTTTTAAAGATTTGTTTATAGATAAGAGATGAGCTATGGGTAGAGACCATTTGTCGTATTTTAAAAGAAAGTGACGTTACTAAAATTGTTTTTACTTGTGATGAAGAGGGAAGTCATTTCTTTATACTTTTGTTTTCTATTTTTCCTTTTTGCACTTTATATTTATTTTTATTATTTTTCATTTGTATTAGCTTTTATCTTTGCGGAGGGAGGGAGGGAGGGAGGGAGGGAGAGAGAGAGAGAGAGAGAGAGAGAGAGAGAGAGAGAGTGGTCTCCCATCCAAAGATTAATCAGGTTTAATCTTGCAGCCATATTTGAAACAATATGAATATGTTCTAAATAAGAAATATACAAAACAATCTTCTGTATTTCTTCTACAGAACTGGGCAAGTCCAATTCACGAAAATCCATATCATATCAAATTTAAGAAATGATCAAAATCCAAGACACAAGTTGTAAAATCAAAATTTATTCTGATTTTTATATTGAAATGCCTGCTGTTCAAGGAAAAAATAAAATTTCTGACTCCATATTAAACATTTTAAATTTATTGTTTCAAATAACTGAGGTTCCCGGTTGTCTAAAACACAGCCACAGCCGGCAAAGTTTTTTATGCACAGATGCAAGAACTCTTCATTATTTAAACATTCTATCAGTCTATGTCAGGGATGTCAAACTCGCGGCCTGAGGGCTGGATGCATCATGTGCTGGTCACGCCCACCTGTTTTAGCGAAGGGGTGAAAAGTCACGAGACATCATGTGATGACAACATGATGACGCAAGTTTGACACCCCTGGTCTATGTGGTTAGATTCAGAGAGCATGTCTCCTTATTACTTTATATATATCTACAATTTATTCTTTATTTCAGACACCATATTGATTGCAGTTAAGCACTTACGGAATGAAATTAAATGTGACAAATAAATATGTCAAGCTTATGCTATTTTAAATAAAGGAGACATGTGTCTCATCCTCAGGAAACCAACTTAAAAGGAAAACTAATGCAACAAAAACTATTCCATTTTCTATTGCACCTACTAACTTTGTTATCTGTTATGTGCACATCTATTTATTATTTACTGAATGCAATCTGACACAAAATTATACACCTTATTTTTGTGCTGATCAGATCCCACCATTATCTCTCACATACATAAGAATTTGCACATCTTATAAGCTTCTGTGTTTCTTAAACCTTCTTATTCTTATATATTTGTAACTTTCAACAATTACTTGGACCCCCACAGAGTGAAATGTCTTGATAGGATTAACGTCCCCCCTCCTCCTAAAATAAGCGCTTTTCAAGAAATTAACTGCCACTCTCCTTTTCAGAGAGACTCTGAAAAGTTATTTATGACCGGGTCAATCATAACTTAAAATAACCACTTATCCCTCAGATTTATAAAATTGAATTAATTCTGAGCCTAGTACTATTCTGGGAAAGTGAATAGGATCCCATATTGCTTCTTGCTCTGTTTTAGAAGCAGATTCAATGTAGCCAATTAACTTGTAGGACAATAAGGCAGCGGAAACAAAAATAACAGAAATAATAAATGAGTATTATGAAGAGCCAAAAAAAAAAAAGAAAAAAGGCTCCCATTAAAAATATACAAGTGCCAGAAATTAGGATTACATATTTTGCAGACTAAAGGGACCTTCATGTTAGTCTGCAATATAATTATTGGTAGACATAGAAATGATTTTTTAAAAAAAATCTTCTAGATATCCAGTCACCTGAACCATAATGGTTAAGAACCGTAGCGGTCCTAGGGAAAGATAAAAAGAAATGAACAGGTTACATTTGTTATAAACAAAATTGCCATATTTACATTCACAGTTTTCATTTAACTTTGCCACAAAATGAGATCTAAACTGATGTTATTTTGTATCCCTAAATTCATAATAATTCAGAATTTGCAAAACAATTTCTCAATCATTGGAAAATTAAGGTACATTTGCTTCTGAAAACTCTGCAGACATAACTGTTGGTTAATTAGCTGGGTTCATAGGCCACTTAATGAAGCAACCTGAAACAAGTGTAAGAACATTTTGTGTTCTTTTCTTTGTTTATTTCACAAGAGATGTTGACTATGCTATCAAAAAAGGGCTTTCTTCTTTTTTTTAGGTACAAAACAATCCTTCTATGGCTATGCATATATTCTCATTGTCAAGTTTACAGTTAATCCACCCTTCATACCAGACTAAACAGTGAGGAAGATAGCATGTGGGACCATTTCATTTTGGAAAGATTCCAAATTTGTAAGTTTATTAACCTGAATAGAAGTCATGACTCCGTTTGCCAGGACAGAAAGCTTTCCAGCAACAGATTTCACTCCTTGTTTAAACTGAGTCATATCAGGAGCAGCAGGCAAGACATTTGAAATATTGTAATTGCCTAAAGACAGAGAGAGATAAAAAAAAAAAGTTTTGGCACGTCACTCCAAAAAACCATTTGAAAGGAATAAACTCAACATGATAAATAAAGTATCGCCAAAATGTTCCCTGGAACACCCTCAGTATGTTGGAAATGTGGCGTTAAAGAAGGCACATATTTCCACCAATGGTGGACCTGTCGAGAGGCAATGAAATTTTGGAATAATATTCAGAAGTGGCTTAATGAGATGTTGGGGCAGCGTATACAATTGTGTCCTGAGGTATTTTTATTAGGGATAAGCCCCGAAAATGTTAATAGAACGACATGGTACCTGCTGCTACATATAACAACAGCTGCAAGATTGGCATGGGCCCAATACTGGAAGATGGATGTTAGCCCGAACAAATAGTAATTCAGAAAATAATCAATTGTGCGGAATCAGATCGGCTTACTATGATACTGAAAGGACGAGGGGACACAGATTACTATATATCTTGGAGTCAATGGTATAATTGGATGTCAAATCAAGCTGCAAATAGAGGTATTTGATAAGCATGTCACTTGGTATATGTAATAGACTTTTGTAGGTTACCCTATATATGTAATGGGACAATTTTATTCCCTTCTCGCATTGTGATGTAAACCTCTATAGATTTAAGGTTTATTGGATGTATAAGATAAAATAAAGAGAAAAAAACCCAAAAAAAACCATGATAAATAAAGTTGATTTGTATCTAAAAGATTGTTTTGATCTTTGAACAAATAGCCAGTTTCTTACGTAGTTTTTGGTCAGTACTCCTTCTATACAATAAAGTCTTTCCTTTTAAACAACCCAAGACAACATTAAACCAGAGAAATAAAGCTTGTAGTAACTCCCACAAACTGAAAATGAAGAACGAAACACAGGGAACAGGAGGGAGCCTTCGCCTGCATCATTCCCAGGCTACAGGATGGATTCCTTCAAAGTGATCGCTTTCTCTACCTTTAGGTAACCTATAAAGCTACACCTCTTTAGCTGGGCTTTTAATGGTTAACGTTTTCATGTTCCAAATAATTTGTTACTGCTTTTTCTTTTTTTTAAAAAAAATCTTGCATATCTGTGCTTTAAATTGAAAGCCACTTTGAACATCCTTATTAAATGGAAAGACTAAGTGGAGCAAGCCATTGTAGTTTTCTTTGCAAAAATGGGGAAGTGACAGGGTGGGATTCAGCTGGTTTAGACCGGTTTGGGCAAACTGGATGCTAATTTTACATCTGGTTTGCTGAACCGGTAGTCGTAAGGACTGCCTGGCCCCGTCCAGCCCCTCCCAGGAGTCTCCAGGTGACCCATTTTGGATGCCAGGTAAGTGCAGTGCCGGTGCAGAGGCTATGGGAGGACAAAAAACAGGCCTCCCGGAAGTCTGGAAATGGGCCCCTTTCCAGCCTCCGGAGGGTCTCCTGAGCCCGGGGAAGGCAGTTTTCGCCCTCCTGGAAGCTCAAGGAAAGCCTCCAGAGTCTGGGGAAGGTGAAAAGTCCTCCTCCCCCCGCTGTGGTGCAGGAGGCCGAATAGGCCACGCCCTAAAATTAATTTTTTTTTAATTCCACCCCTGGAAGTGTATATGACCTTGCTTTCTTCAAAGATACTGTAATGTTTTGACTTCTCAATGCAGCTTGCAAGTAGCTCTTACGTTATACCCACTCAGTCAGCAACTGTTTAAAATTATGGTTGTGCTAAACAAGGAGGATTTAAGACCAGTCCAGTTCCGGCTATCGCAATTACCCCCCAGTCACATGACTGCGATTCAGGCGCTCAGATGCTTGTGATTATGATGTAATGAGCCATGGTCATGTGATTGCAATTTACAATCCCTGCATCCCAGCATTCCCTGCTGGCCTCCACAAGCAAAGTCAATGGGGAAGCTAATAGCATGTCAAAAATCAGCCCAGCCACCTTTTTGTCTACCTATGCTCCATAGCAACTGCCCGTAATACTGCCTTCCGCACACCCACCTGTGCTCTCTAGTGCCTGCCTGTAGCAATCTCCTCCCTATGCACCCACCTGCAGCATCCCTGCATTCTCTTCTTGCACACTCTTACACACTTACCTGCTTGTCTGGTACTTCCCTATCTTTCTGCTTTATGATGTGAGGTCTTGGGGTTACAACAGCCACCAAGACAGCCAGGATCGCCTTTGCTGAGCAGTGCAATCACATGACATCCCTCTTTAATGACCACATTGCTTAGTGATGGCAATTACAGTCCCAAGCACTGTTGTAACACAGGGACTATCTGTACAGCCCTGAAATGTCCAGATGATTTCCCCATTCAAGTACTAATCAGATATTTTCTGCCTCCCAGCCAGAAGTATATAAGTAAATAAATAATAAAATAAAGAGGGAGGCTATTTCATTGGAAATGAAGTTTCAGAGTTTAGAGCAGCGGTCCCCAATCTTTGTGGCTTGGCAGCCCGGAGGGGGAGGCGTGGACCCAGGCTGCACAGCAAACCCAGTTTCAAAGTTACGGCCGCTGCAACACTTCAAATGATGGTTCAGGAGAGAAAGAAATAGAGTGAAATCTGATCATAGGCAAGAAAGAATGAGTGGGGTGGCAGCCCGAAGAGCTTGCAAACAAAGAGACAGCAAGGTAACATGAGCAATGCAAAGCAAAACTCTTAAGGCAGCCTTAAGAGCTTTTATTTGGCATTTTATTCAGTCAAATAGTATACAGTGCAGTTCCTTGTCCCATTTTCCCCACAACTAGAACGTTGTGAGGTAGGTATGGTGGGGTGGGCCGGGAGAGTAAGCTTTGTGGCTGAAGTTGGACATAAACCCGAATCTTCTCAGTGCAATTCAATACCTTAATTGCCACCTCATTTTGGGTCTCATGTATATACCACCACTAATTTAAATTCTTTAAAGAAAATGAAACAACTAACTGTGCCAATGTTGGAATCATAGAGCCAACTGCCCTGTCACTCTACTTGTGAATAGGTACAAAAGTCTTCAAAAGTACTAAGACTCTTAAATTTATCCAGAAATGCACTGTACCTTATTTATTTTCCAAAGACTTAGTACATTATAGTTAATAAGCATAGCAAGTTGCTTTATAAAACTGGCAATATCTGAAACTCAAGCTTTTTCCTTCCATACCTGATGGCTGTTTCTTTTGATCTTCAAACAAATCAGCTGAACTTATGGCAGCATTTCCGGAAAGTCTTTCTAACCGAACTCTAGCTTCATACTATATATATAGAGAGAGAGATTTCAGTCATAAAGAATAGGTCCATCTTTCCCATCTAGAGAGTGATTTTCAAAATGTCAATCAAAGAAAGCATGCAGAGATGGCTAATTCTCCAAAGTCCATAAAAAACCAGAAAAATATAGTGCATTGTAATAACCTACAAAATTAATTCATATATTGCAAAATTTAGATAACCTCAAAATAGATGTCAAGTAGAATCCTTCTCCTCTTGAGTAAAGTGTTTTGTCCTATATCTAATGAAACAATACTTACATGGATTGTACTGAAATAATCATAGCACTGAACTTTTTCCCTGAAGAAATTACCGTATTTTTCAGATTATAAAATGCTCCTGACTATAAGATGCACATTAGCTTTAGAGGAGGAAAACAAGAAAAAAAAAATCTGCCTCTGCCTCCCAGCATCCATCCGGTATTCATCTGGCTAGCATCCTTGCACCAAACAGCCTGGTCAGTTATCACAGCCCCAGCACATGGCTCATCAGGGCTCCGCTCCATTGCGCCCACCACCAGTCAACTGAGCTGAGCCGCTGCCGGGGAACACTGGAGCCTTCTCTGCTGAGCAGCTGATTGGTGATTGGATTTGCCTCCCGGTATACCACCGATCAGCTGTTCTAGGTGGTGGGGATCGCCATGGCCCGTTTGCTACTGCAGTGGCCCATTTGCCACAGCTCATTTGCCACCGCCATGGCCTGTTCACCACTGCCGCCCATTCACCACCGCCACCCATTCACCACTGGTGAATGGGTGGCGGTAAATGGGCGGCAGCGGCAATCCTCGCCGCTTAGAACAGCTGATCGGCGCCGCACCAACCCCCCTCCCCTGCCGCAATATTCGCTCTATAAGACGCACAAACATTTCCACCCACTTTTGGGGGGGAGGTGCATCTTATACTCTGAAAAATACAGTAATCCTTCCAAATACAGTTTATAGTCCTTATTCTGTCAAGTTGACACAAATGATTTTTCCCCTGGATTCTTCCTCTTGATTTTTCTTACTGATTTTCCCCGAAAATTTTAGATAGTAACTGAAGAAAATGTAAAACATATAAATGTTTCTGTAATTCCATGGTATTCCACATCTTTTGTTATTCGACCAGTTGTATTGTGATGGGATGACACATTCTGAAACCATAACCAGTGAATAATTTCAAAATGTTTTGACTATACTTACTTCAGCATGGTCTTGCTTTCCAAAATACATATCTGATGAAATAGCTTTTGCATTGCCAAATTTCTTTTGTGCTTCATCTGTGCTTGCAGAGTTTTCATGCTCTGGTTTCCTACGAGATGATGACCTACAAAATGTTTTAACATCGTTATATCTCAGATCAACAAAGAAATTTGTATTTTTCAAATATCCTTAAAACAGGTAGACTTCAATTTATAACGGCTCATTTAGCAACTGTTTGAAGTTAGGATGGACTTTCTAAAAGGGACTATGATCTGATTCTGAAGTTCTGATGGCCACCCCCCTGCAGTCATGTGACTTGCATTTTGGGTGCTAAACAACTGGCCCGAATTTATGGCTGTTTGCAGTGTCCCATAATCACATGACTGTGATTTATATTTTGCCTGAAAACTCATGTTTACTTCCAGTTTTTGGCATAAACTCCCCACAGAAAACAATGGGGTCACTTAATGAGCATGGCAAAAAAGGTTATAAAGTCAGGTGAGTCATGTGGGTGACCTGTTTTACAACCGTCATGACTTAGGGCTTAATGGGCAGGCTCTATTATGGTTGTAAGTGAAGGACTACACGCATTGTGAATGCTATCTTAGTAAGTATGACAGTTTTATAAAGACAACTTACTTGTTATCTGATTTTTATATTACTAACAATCATACACAACAATTACAATGGTAAAAATTCTATTTTCAGATTGTCCTCCTTACTATGGATTCATTTATGATCAGTACTGAAAACTACTTGGAAAACTTTCAAAGAAGCATGAAAATAGAAAAGCAGCACAGAAAATATATTGTTAGAAGAATAAGTGTGCAGTATTTATTTAAGGAATTTGAAGCTTTATATTCCCTTGATATTCCGCCTTTCTTTCACAACCATGAGTATAATCTGGTAAAACTGGAAAGCAAGGCATTTTCAATTATGCTATAGAATCTACACTCTGGATTGTGCATGCATTCCACTGGCCACTTCCTCATTAGAATGTTTTTCAGAACTTTCCGATTCCTAACTGCTTTGTCAAAATATTTGGTCATATACTCATGCAATTTGCCGAAGTAACCGGAAAGCAAAATTTGTTAGACTCTCAACTCTAAATCCTTTACCCCCACTCCCATTTGCAGAGACATTCAGATTTCAAATAGGTAGGTTTCTTTGTTATGTAAATTGTCATTCAAATACTGGAATTTGAATATTCAAGTTCACTCTCATTTTGCAAAGATGATTTAATAGTGGCAAGTCAGCAAGCAAATTAATTGACCTAATGTTTATGTCTTTGTAAGTGTTGATATTTTGTAAAGAAAAGTTACCTCTCTGAATAGCTTGTAGGCTTGGAAGACAAAATCATATCAATGTCTCTGCTGCTGCTGCTTTCTTTCTTCCAGAAGGAATCAAAATTGTCATCCCATTTAGAAAAAGCGCTACTTCTCAAGTCAGGCGAATCAAAATATCTGAGCAATCAGGGAAAACATTTCATTGATATTTGAAGTTTAAGAGAAACTTTGGATCCATTCCTCTACAACGGCAAGGACTGTTGTTTTACTAGAAAGCACCGTGCTCTTAATTAGCATCCAAAGGCCTGCTTGGACAATCTAGTTTTCTATTGGGCTTACCCCAATTAGCTAATAATGTCTTGCCTGGACCTTAAATACTTGCCCAATACCTGCATGTAGCTAATCCTCATTTCATATGTAACCTTACTGGTTGAGAAACTGCATGAATGAATGAATGAATGAATGAATGAATGAATGAATGAATGAATGAAAACTTTCTCTGTGCAACTGTTTCCTGATCTTAGATTCCCAAAGCAATCTACACAACCCCAGAAGGGAGAGAGGTTGAAGGGTTATAAAACTTGGCTAACAATGGCAGTCCTCTGTGAGTGATTTGCCATGGTATGCCCTTCTTGCTGCTCTCCATATCCACTGCAGCAGGCAAAGAAGGGAAATCTCCTCTGGAAGAATCTAAAATTATTCAATTTTTAAATGTTCAAATTATTCATTACCTATTTGATGCAATGTATGCTTAAAATTTGATCTAATTTATACTTTGCTCACAGTTCAAATAAAAAGAAATAAACGTAACAAAAAACAAAACTTTCTTTTTCTGCTCATTTAGGACTCCGAAGTGTTACTCGGCATAGATGGACAACCCACACACCCTTCCTAGCAGCCTTTCTGCTACCTACTGCAACCACAAGTAGGCATATTCAAAATTTTATCTTTTCTGGAGGCATTTCTGGAGAAAATTTAAGAGAGAAAATGGATGTGTCTTGAGTTTCTCTATGCTTTAGAACAAAACAAAAAGCTAATTTTCCTGCTTGGGCATATTTAAGTGGACATCTTAAACCTTGCAGAACTTAAAACATCCCTTTTGCCCTTTAGCATTCAGCCAGTGGTGTGGGGAAAAAAATTGCCATCACTTACTCCAATGATATTCACACACCCTCTCCTAAATTCTCCAATTCTACATAAGGGAAAACAAATCTACTCTAATGAAGATGGAGCCAGGACCATTTTAGTGATTTTATACTCAGCTGCTGAGTAACAGATCAGCAAAGTGTCAAATACACTAAGCATTTCCAGGACACCTAGGAAAAAGGACACATAACTTTGAGTCAACCTTGAATCTTGGTGCTATTCTGCTATTTGTTTTTTCTAGAAGTGTTCATTTTCCCAATCTAGATTAAAATCCTGAGATTTCCTGGTGGTCTTCCACCCCAGCTCTTAAACAGGTTTGACCTTTTTAATATTAGAGCCCAGGCAGTATTAAGTCTATTGCTGTTACTTGCTGAAACTCTGTGTCATTAGAAAAGAAAATCTACCTTAAAATGAGGTCATGGATGCACATGTACGTTAACAATTATCTTCAAGATTTTTAAAAGATTACCTTGAATTGGTGCAAGAAAAATAAAAATCATCTTCATCACTATACTTTTTTCTCGATTTTGCACTTGTCGGTGTTTCTTGCTGTATGATCTGCATATCTGAACTTACCGAATGGGAAATACCACTGGAAAGAACAATTGAAATTTAAAATGTTATCTTTAAAAAGAGGAAAAACAAATTCAGATTGAAGTCAAAGATGCTTGATGCGCTATAATTGCAGCCAACACAGTCCAGAATAACAAAGGAAATTTTGTAGCACAAATCCTATTTCGGACCTTCTAAGGGTGGGCAATTTGCAGTGTGACCTGCAGAACTCACACTGTGGTTGCTGAAGTGTGAAAAATAGTGTAAGCCTAAAAATCAAAGTTAAAAAAACCAATGAAAAAATATTCAACCTATTGCCCTCATGTATAATGTGCCCCTCCTATTTCTTTAGCCTTATTGTATACTGTGTCTTTTAATCACAAAAAGGTTGCCACAAACTCCTATCTTACTCTGTGACACCAATCTTAAAGCATCCTTAAAAGTACTTTTAAAAACTTTCCCCAAGAACCTGTTGTTTGGGGCACTGTTTTAAACTTTTGATGCCTGACAAGAAGTTTAGACAGAGGGGGAGCCCCCAACTCACCTTTAGAGGTGAAGATGCTGGACTTGGAGCAAGGAGACCAAAGTACTGCACCAGTGCCCCGCTCAGCCATGGAACCTACCTGAGAGACTCTAGGGCCTCTCCTTTCCTCTCATCCCAAGAGCCAGAGTGGTCCAGGGGTAAAGGTGTTAGGCCAGGCATGAGGAGACAACAGATTCTAGACATTCTTCAGCCATGAAAACTCCCTGGGGGATTTTGGCCCAGCATAGAGTAATACTAATTTATTTGTTTATTTGTTTAACTTATGGAGATGCTACATTAGCCAGGAGACTACAATGCTAATACAGAATAGTACAGGGGTGTCAAACTGGATTTCTTCGAGGGCCGGATCAGCATTGTAGTTCTCCTCCACGGGCCTATCGGCAGAGGGGGGGTGGGAGACTGGATGGACACCCCCTGCTGGCCAAAATGGGGCACGGGGGCCATGTGAGCCCCCCCCCACACCTCGTTTTTGGCCTGGACGGCCTCCTGCAGCACCTGGATTCAAAACTTGTTATGCAGCTATTCTGAATATGCACAATATTTGAATGATTGATCTCAAGCAGCTTCTGACAGATAGTCAGTACAGATAGTCCTCGACTTACAACAATTCATTTAGTGACTGTTCGAAGTTACAACGGCACTGAAAAAAGTGACTTCTGATTGTTCTTCACATTTACAACCATTGCAGCAACCCCATGGTCACGTGATCAAATTTAAGACTTTGGAAGTTGACTCACATTTATGACCGTTGCAGTGTCCTGGGATCATCTGATCCTGGGATCATGTGATCACCTTTTGCGACTTTCTGACAAGCAAAGTCAATGGGGGAAACCAGATTCACTTAACAACTGTTAATAATTTAATAACTGCAGTGATTCACTTAATAATTGTGGCAAGAAAAGTTGTAAAACAGGGCAAAATTTACTTAACAATGTCTCACTTAGCAACAAAAATTTTGAGCTCAATTGTGGCCGTAAATTGAGGACTACCTGTGTTAAGAGATGTCCAATGTAAAGTGGATGATCTGAATCAAATACATACCTTCTACTATTACTGAATCCCATGCCAAGTCTTTCTATCTCTGTTTTCTTTTTACCAGGCACATTTAATTTTTCATCCTTCATCTGAATTTCAAGATCTTTGTAGGCCAGTCGTAAAGATGATACCCTAAAAAGAAAAGCCCACATAAAACTGATATATCTTGAATGAATGCCAGAAAATTTTACTCATAGTAGAATAAACGAAGTAATATTTTTCGACGCATAAACTAGAAGTACATGACTTAATTGAGTAAAATTCCTTTTCTTTTACTTCTAAAATTAAAGAGTTCTACCTTTATAGGAGGATTCAAATTTAATCAGCCTTTGTAATGAGCATTGTATATTATTTTGCTTCTAAAGGATTAGTGGCAAAGGAATAATAAAGAGCACAACAATGGAAAAACATAATTGGAAAGTATCACAGGATCAAGGAAACAGAATGTATGGCGAAAAGCAGAATTTGAGATAATTTAAAGCTGTACTAAGAGTTTCTGAACTTAAACTGCAAAAAACAGGACACATCTACAGTCCAAAAGTCAATCAGGAAAAGTTGTGGCTATTTTTGTAATATTGCACAACAAAATCAGTTTTTCCTGAAGTGGTATTTATGTTATGGCTACCAATTCTCTTTTCTAAAATAGAGGAGAATATATGTAGATCAGGATAGAACTGTGGAGTCCTTCGTGCTAAACTTGGTGTTAAATCCCTGCTTATCTGGGGGCTGAAAAAGATATATTCGCTTGTATGTATTTGGTTGGGGTGCATGCGCGAAGCGTGTGCATGATGCGAACCAGTGGTAACACCGGTTGAAACCCACCACTGATATAGATATTAACTGCAAGCAACATTCCTCTTAGAATAATGTTTGTCTGGCTTTCCGACCTCTTGCAAAGCATACTACAGGAGCTAGTGATAGGATATCGATGTATTTATGATTAAAGTGTGTGACATTATAATAGGGAAAGATGGGCACAATTTGCCACCCCCATTCACTGTTTATGATTAAGACCTACCTTTCCCAGAAGGATTGTGAAGAAAAAAACTGGAAACAATTCTTTCAGATGTCAGTCATTAGTGTTTTAACTGTGCCTGCACCTAACTATGGTTAGTTGAAACAATCTAACTTTTTTATAAACTATAGTTTTACATTTGCTTGCTTCTGCTATTCATAGTTAAGAGTAATGGTTTATCCTAATTGAGCTAGGCTGCGAAACTTAATCTAAAATGGACTTCTTTTTCTTAACTGTTCAGCTAGCAGGAATATATACTGTATAGTAGACTTAAGGGTCATTTAGATTAATCCCTACTAACAAACACTCCTTCCCCCCATATTATTGCCCCTCTCAATAAGTAAAATATAATGCCAGTTTAGAAGAAATACTGGATAAAAAAAAATCCTGAATGTTTCTTAATATTGGAGCATCTTCAATCTGAAGGCAGCTGCTGCAAGTTATAAACAAGTAGAACTCCACACAAATCATAACAGTTGGATAGTGCAGGGTATGAACACACATATTAGGAAAATAGTATGAATCAATTATATCTGATTTTCATAACAAATTACTAGATTTGCATTTACTCCTGGTACATTTAATGAATCCTTTGTAATGGTGTGGAATAGAAATGAAGATGTATAAAAATGATCTAATAAGAAAGTATCTTAGATTACCAGATACTTTATTAAAGAGATATTAAAGGGATAACAGGTAAATGGAAACTAATGGATTACTAATTAGACAAATGAACAGCTATCTGAAGAAATCAATTGATTATGAAGTTCTGTGGTATTAATTCCTATCTTGAAAGCCATGCAAATATGCTACAAAAGCTTTCAATAAATATTCTTTGAGTTTTCATTTACAAGACAAAAATCACACTTACTGTTATTTCTGTCTGACAGCATTAACAAAATCAAAAATATCAGAACATAGTTCTTCAAAGAAAGATGCAGTAATTTTTCTAACCTACTTTTGTAAGAATTTTATCAAATTGCAACACAAGCATTTAATCAATGTAATAAAGAAGAAAAGTGGTGTCATTAAGAATAACTTGGTATCCCATTTTGATAGCTTAGTACATTTTTGTAGACATAAAACCTGGATAAACATTTTCATAATGGATCAAGAAAAGTGAGTGCTATTTAGAGGAATATTTCCAAATGGCAGCTCTGTTTATTTAAATACAATGCCTATTCTATTCATGAAAATAATGAAAAGGCAATACACAATGTAAACATTTGCTCTATTTTCTCCTTGTAATCTAAAATAATTAAAGCATATTCATGTTTTTAATTTTATTATAATTCTGTTAAGTCACAGCTGATTATGAAGTGAATTCTGATTTATTCGGAAATAGACCCATACTATACATATATATGTGGTAAAAGCAGCCTATTAAGTTATTGGATCAGTTTTTGAAAAATGACAACATACTATTATTTAATTCCAGGAAGGAAAGGAATCTCTGTGGATTTTATTTCGCTACTCATTTCCAACTACAGGGGGCGGCATTCACCTACATTTCGAGCCCATGAGTCACCACTGTCCAAAGACATTTCCATGGTTATGTGGCCAGCATGATGTCGTGGAGCACTATTTTCTCTCCACTGAGGTGGTATCTATTTATCTATTCGCATTTGCATGCTTTCGAATTGCAAGATGGGCAGGAGCTAGGCAAAGTCTTCCAGCCTACAAGCCCAGCATCTTAACTGTTGAGCCATCATGATGCCTTAGTTCCAGGGCCTATACCAGGGGTCAGCAACCTTAAACACTCAAAGAGCCACAAAGGCCCTAACCAGAAGTCCCCTGTTCAATTCCGGAGCCAACCAAAAGTCCGGTTCCCCCCATCACCACCACCATAGAGTCTCCTCCTAGTGCGGCACCCTTTTTCCTCTGCCAACCGGAAGTCCAGTTCCCTCCACCATAGTCTCCTCCTAGCACGGCATCTTTTTTTTCTACCTATCCTAACTGAAAGCCCTATCAATTGTGGAGCTGACTGGCGACAGGGAGCCGCAGCAGAGGGATGAAAGAGTCACATGCAGCTCCAGAGCTGCAGGTTGCTGACCCCCGGCCTACACCAAAGTAAAATAGGTATCATCCCTAAAGTAACTTGTATCAGAGGATATTCAAACATTTTCCACTTCAAATACCCACTTAAGTCTGCAAAGAGAGAATCTAACAGGTGCCAAGCAAACTCTACTTACAGCGGTTCTTCCTTCTCTTTTGCTTTGCCAGCTTCCTTCAGTTTATCTACTGCCTGTGCTTGTTTTTCTATCTCGTTAAAACTCTTGCTGCTCAGTTTCTGGGCCCCCAAACCACATTTCTTAGCTCCAACCTTTAATTTGGATGTGAAAGAAAAATGAAAAAAGGTTATCACAATAGAAGAATCCATGTTATTTCATGTTTCTTTCTCTAAGGACAAAATGGAAAGGAAACAGCTCTAGTAAAGGCAAGGGAAGCCATACCAGCAAGGCCTGGCTTCTGCATTCATGATGCTTTGCAGTTCCTAGGGCAGCCTTGCAGCTCCTGATTTGTGAGCTGGAATTTGTGAGCGATGGGCCACTATTAAATTTTGATTGCTGGATGAGGCAAATCTATGGTTAGTAGTAACCACAGTATTAAAAAAAGGGTGCTGATTCTGCTTTGAAAGCAGTTAATGAACAATTCGGATGTCAAATTTGGTAAAGCAATGTTGTAAGACGAATACAAAAAAATGCATTCTAATTGCACCCGCTTGTGTGGCTAGATATAAATCACATGACATGCAGCTTACTTCTAAGTTACTATATAGAAAAGCAGACTAGGCATGCATGGAATTAAGAAAACAGCTGACCAAATTACTACCGCTTGCTCCCAAGTCAGTCCTATATAGCATGGAAATAAGACTGGCAAACGTATCTCTACTGGACTTTCTGGTTTTTCTTTGAAGACGTTTTGCTTCTCATCCAAGAAGCTTCTTTAGCTCTGAGTGGATGGTGCTGGAAAGTCCATCTGCCTCTTGAAAAAAGCACCTTTGGGACAACCATGACCTGGATGACTGAGAATCTCCACAGACATCTAAATGGATGTATAACCCAGTCCAGTGACATCTGCAGCAAGCCACAATGCAGCGAGTCCAATGAGACCAAAGGTCCATGGTGCCCTCCCTCATTATTTAAGTTAACAGCTGTTTCCCTTTACTTGACTGATGTAAGTTGTTGCATATGCATTATGCCATCATCACTCGCTTTTCATAATTCGTCTCCATACTATTGTAGTGGAGACTTTCTGGGCCAATTTAAGAGCAGTGGGTATGAATGCCACAAGGAAGGTTCAATTCCCTCCCCTCCCCCAACCTCCCTTTAACTAGTTAACAATAGGATGTTTTTAGGAGAGGATGCTCTGCATATAGGCCTAATTACTGAGGACTAATTTGATTAAATTCAGAGGTATACAACTCTTTATGTGCATAAAAAAGAACATGAATCTCTTCAGCAGCCGAGTAAAAGAGTTTTGAAAATATCAGTCTAAATACTTACTCCCTTTTTTACTTGATTTGGTTTCTTCTTCATCACAGAACTGATTTCTGTAAGAAAAATACACAGCCTATGAATTACATACACTGTAACATGATGAAATTAGCATGAACAGTAATATCTATAAAAGTACAAAACACCAGAATTGCCCATTTAACTTACAAGAATTAGGAAAAGCTATACAATATAATATGGAATTCGTTTTCAACATTTAAAAATAATATATAATCTTCCAGAGAAAGGGAATCCTAGGCACCCGCTTATAAATTAATGCATTTCCAAAGTTCTGTATTTTTCAAGAAAAGAATTTAGTATAAAAAGGGAAATATGTTTCTCGAGAATGTCTACATAACTGTTTTTTTCTTAGGGGAAACTAAGATGACATTTTAAGTTGAATAAAATAACTGAATATTTGTATACAAATAAATCAATTAAGTCCCTCAACAGTTTACCAGCTGACACCTTAAATAAATCTTTTTCAGAATTAGAAATCTATCCCAATAGTCTTTCCTCCAGTGTGGTAAATCTCACCAAGTTATCTTCATAAAGCCAAGATGGATCAATATCATATATCTCGGAGGTGAGCATTGTTATGATGATGCTTCCACAGATGGCAGTGCCTGGCCAGTCCTTACTGATCTCAGAATCCAAGTAGGAGCGGCCTGACACCAAGAAACCCCGGGAATATGGATGAGACTGGAAATCCCCCATTTTAAATGAACAAAAAAATCTGGAAGGAGGCAAGATGAGTTGGTATCCTTGGCCAAGAAAATTACATAGATGCGGTCCTTAGGCCCTGAGCTTGATTTGGAAATTTCAGTCTTTATAATAATTCCTGTGCCACGTAGAAGTGAGGGCAGGGGAATTAACTTTTGCATTGTTTATGGAACTATGCAGGCCAAAATAGATACCTCTTGTTTTTCAAAGGAAATTTGAGTAACAATGGCATTAGGACTAGACCAGGGTTGTCCCACTCCCTTTTTAGCAAAGGGGGGGGGAAGTAACAATACGTCATGTGACGACGTATCATCACGAGTTTGATACCCCTGGACTAGACTAAAGGGTACATGGTATATTATTAGTGGTGCAATGGTTAGAATGCAGTATTGCAGGCTACTTCAGCTGATTGCCGGCTGCCAGCAGTTCGGCAGTTCAATTCTCACCGGCTCAGCCTTCCATCCTTCCAAGGTCAGTAAAATGAGGACCCAGACTGTTGGGGGCAATATGCTGACTCTGTAAACTGCTTAGAGAAGGCTATAAAGCACCGTAAAGCGGTATATAAGTCTAAGTGCTATTGCTATTAATATTACAGCAAAAAAATATACATATTTATTACTACCAGTTCTGCATATGTGGCTGATTGTCATTTTACTGCACTTGGACAGCATAAGTAGAAATAATAACAGAACGGCTGGTGTGTGTGTGTGTGTGTGTGTGTGTGTGTGTGTGTGTGAGTGTGAGAGAGAGAGAGAGAGAGAGAGAGAGAGAGAGAGAGAGAGAGAGAGAGAGAGAGAGGGAGTAAAAACAATGGATTGCTGATCTAGTAGAATGCCACTATAGAGTAACCAGTTAATTTCATATGACTCAATGGATGGAAAAGCTAAGAGGGAGCGAAGGCAGTTGATAAAAGTAAAAGGAATGAGAAGGAAAAGAAGAGGAGATAATTAATACATAGAAAAAATACAACCCTTGAACAAAACCAGGTAGTGATTCTGCAAATCATGAAATTTTGTACTTCTAAATATTTATTTATTTATTTATTTATTTATTATTTATTTATTTATTATTCAAATTTCTATACCGCCCTTCTCCTTTCGGACTCAGGGCGGTGAACAGCCAAAATAAAACATTTATACATAAAGTACGATTAAAAATAGATTTAAAATAATTAAATTTGGCCCATAGTTTAAAATTTATCAATTTAAAATCCATATCAAAATTTAAAATCAACCATAAAATCATAAAATCAAGAGAGACCGGCTAACTGAAAGAGATGAGTTTTTAGGGCCCGACGAAAAGTCCGGAGGTCGGAAATCACTCGTATCTCTGGGGGTAAATTGTTCCAAAGGGTAGGTGCCACCACAGAGAAGGCTCTCCTCCTGGGGGTCGCCAGCCGGCATTGTCTAGCCGACGACACCCTGAGGAGGCCCTCTCTGTGGGAGCGAACTGGCCAGTGGAGGCTATTGGTGGCAGAAGGCGGTCCCGTAAGTACCCTGGCCCTAAGCCAGGGTATTAATTTAGTATAATACAATTTTATCTGCAACTTAGTATAATACAGTTTTAACTGTTTATGAACAGATCTCCAAATAAATGAAAGCCAGAACATAACACTTCCCTAGATCTAATACACAACTCTGTCAGGAAAACATCTGACAAAGGAGAACTATGGGAATCTCAATATGGGAATCCTGAATATTTTGAGGCAGTGGTCAGAAGCTTTAATGTTGTATATATTTATTGCCAAAATAAACTTAGAAGAAATTATGCCATTTCTCACCAAGTAAATCCACTTTTGCCAAAAGATTTAACTATTCATGTTATCCACAACTATCACTGCTGACCCAGTAAATGGATCAGATTAAGAATTAAATTCTGTATGCCACTCCAAACTGCTGAAAGGAAAAAAAAATAAGAAAGCACTGAACATGTAGTGCTTTGTTCTATAAAAAATTGAGAAAAAAATATGGCGTCACTTCAGTGGCAAGAGAACATTGAATCCCCATATAAGAGAATAGAATAGGATTCTTTCTTTTATTTATTTATTTATTTATTTATTTTAAATTTATATACTGCCCTTCTCCCTGAGGACTCAGGGCGGTGTACAGCCAGAATTAAAAAACATAAAACACAAATATTAAAAAACAATTAAAATATATATAAATTTGGCCCAAAATTAAAAATACAAACCAATTAAAACATTTAAAATTTCTTCTTAAGCCAGCCCGGCTTGCTGGAAAAAGTGGGTTTTAAGGGCACGGCGGAAGGCACTAAGGTTCTTAAGGTTGAAGGCCAGTAAGCTGACTGGCCTACAAGCAATAAACTATTCAGAAAATGTAACAAATAGGTATCAACACAATAAAACAGATAACAGAGCATTCATCATCTGTTGCCAGTTTTCTGTCTAGTGACCTGCATGCAAACTAGTTTTGGATCTCCATATGAAAGACACCTCAAAGATGCAACATGTTAAAATATGGGGCTACCAAATACATCTCATTGCTCTTTAGTTACATCAAGAAAAATAGTAAAAAGGTAGGTTCAGAAGCAAGAGAAAATTTAAAAAGAAATTAGAAGCATGTAGATATATTTGCTGGAACCGCTAATACAAACTAAGTAAATTAATATAATGCTCTATTCCACAGAAGTATGTGGAAACTGAAGCAGCAAAACAGGGTAACTAAAACATCCAGTCACCTTTGTTAGGTGCCGTGCCTGAAGTATTTACCTTCTCCAAGTAGGCTAAAATAAGAGATAAAAATATATATATCACTAACTAAACAAACATACGCATTTATACAAGAATGCAGCTGCATTGATTTGAAGAGCCAATTTACCAAACTCCCCCTCACCCACACCCCAAGAAATAGCATATGATTCCAATGTTTGGGAGTTGTACCATTTCAGAATGAAGGAAGAAACAATTTAAATTTCTCCATCTTGCCAGAACATGTTAGCATGTTTCTGATCTCCTAAAAGGAAGTGCGGTTGTATTCTGTTTGTTCATTTAAATTTTATATAGCTTAAACATGGAGGCAGCATGTCAACTGAAAAACAAACATCAGGAATGAAGACTCAGAATACTCTTAAATGGAAAGGTATTTCTAACTGAACTGCAAAAATTCTAAACAGAATACCCCGAATTGTGGCTCTATTATATGATGCTAATCACTACATCCTCAAATAAAAACAGCTACAAGTAAGCCAGATGCTATCGGAAGAAACTCGTGTTCTAAAACATGTCTCAGTAATGTATGTGTAGCAATAATGTGTACATCTGACTCACAGCATCTTCTGAACTCTAGTAATAATGAGCTGTTGAGGGCTAGGATAATTATTACTATGAAATTGCTGACAAGTCAGCAAACACAACATGAGATTTGTACTGTTTTGTCCATCCTGCTGCATCTGTAGACATTCAGAGATCTTTTCTTCTGTATTGTTTACCTAAAGAAGCTTCAGGCGATACACTAAGGTAATCAACACTTGGTCCATATTCTGGATCTTCTAGAAATAAAAAAAAATCAGCAAACATATAAATGTTAAAGATTAGTACAGTTCTAAATCCTTGATCCACATACAGTCAACTCAACTTCCTGTTTTCCCAGTCAGTCAACTTCTGTTCTTATCTATTTGAATTAAAGACAGTTTTAGTATGCTGAAAATTTATCTGGATCTGTACTGATTATAATAGGCAAATTTAAAGTATATTTTTATCAGATACAGTCATATTTCTAGAACTTTTCATGTGTGACAGTAACTGGCATGGGTTATAAAGCAGCAAAACTCATTTAGTTTTGTGTAAGTAGTTTTGTATATGATTTTAAAAGCACTACAGTTGATAAAAGCTATTTATCCAACGATCTTAAGAACACAATCAACAGGATTTAGAAATTTTTACATATTCGCTACATTTTGTCACACATTTTAGAAATGAAGTTGATAAACTATACCATCTTTGCTTTCTGAATTGTTTTCTGAAGAATTCTGCTGTGGATTAATTGTTTCTTGTGGTAATGATTCCTGGTCAATAACCTACAAAAGAGAAAGAAAAAAACCACAAGTTATTAGCAGTGTTGAAGTCCAAAGAATTAAAATTAAGCTCATCAGAATTAGTTTAGGTACAGACTAATATTCATGTATATAAGATATTAAGATATTATATGTTAAGAAGTTTTTCTGACATCTCATTCAGAAATGCAGCTGAAAAATCATATTGGATATGAATAATGAGGAAGTTTTAGTTTCAAGTCCCAGGTAATGAGTATAGTGAAATATTTTACTATCAATTTGCTTATACAAAAAAATACATTTAGTCTGTAAGATTTCTTCTAACCCAAATTAAATGGATTTTTATTTGATCAGACTTATATTGGCTTTAGTGAGCATGTGAAGAGAGACCGAGAAGGCGTTTGAAGGGAATTCAACTGAGAAGAAACAGGACAAGGAGAGAGGAGACAGCAGAAGAGTTAGGAAGGTGGAAGGGCTGTTGACGGCTCTTGGAGTGATGCTCACTGCTCACTGTGTGACAGATATTGCTTGTTGCTGACCTAGTTCTGAAATAGGTTCAGGAGACAAATAAAGCAGCCAACTTTTCAATGAGCAAGTTTACAGAGTGAACAAACAGGATCTTTTTCGACAAAGAAAAGACAAACAGAATTTCTTTTATGACCTGCAGAGAATGTGTCATGTTTGCTTTCCTTCCACAAACAGAATTTATACATGCTGTAAATGAAGGCTGATTGCTCTCCTGGAAGAGGAGATAAAGCATCCTGAGGCAAAGCTGTTCGTTTTCGATTTTATCAGGGAAAATTATGAGCTCTTGGATCAGATATACCGTGTTTCCCTGAAAATAAGACCGGGTTTTATATTAATTTTTGCTCCAAAAGATGCATTAGGGCTTATTTTCTGGTTAGGTCTTATTTTGGGGAAAATATGGTACTAAATGCATCCATCTGGCTAACAATCTTAACTTGGGTTTATTTTGGGGGTAGGGCTTATATTACGAGCATCCTGAAAAATCATGCTAGGACTTACCGTATTTTTCAGAGTATAAGATGCACCTTTTCCCCCCCTAAAAGGGGGTGAAAAATTAGGTGCGTCTTATACACCAAATGTAGCCCCGTGCACCCACTGGCCCCCACTCTTTGGCCTCTGCCTCCTAGCAGTTTACCTCCTTGCAGCAAGCAGCAAGAAGAAACAGCTTGTTTCAGCTTCAGCACAGCCTAATTAGCACAAGTTGATTGGATCGGCCTCCCAACTCTCAGTTGTTTTTCTCTCAGCTGTTTTGCCCAGGCCTCTGCTGCTTGCTGCAAGGAGGTAAATTGCTGGGAGCAGATTTTTTTTTCTTGTGCTGATCAAGCTATGATGAAAGTGAAAATGAAAGTAAAGCAGGCTATTTGTTGTTTGCTGCAAAAAGGCAAAATTGCTGGGAGGCAGAGGCAGATTTCTTTTTCTTGTTTTCCTCACCAAAAAAGGTAGGTGCGTCTTATAGTCTGGAGCATCTTATACTACGAAAAATACGGTATTTTCTGGTTGGGTCCTATTTTTGGAGGAACAGGATAGGACACTCTTGAAGAGGGAAAATGGCATCAAGGAACATCCCAGGACAAAGAAGGTAGTCAAATGAAAAGAATGAAGAGGAGGAGGAATGTGATGTGTGTATAGGTGTATGTGTATATATGGATTAGAGAACAAACAAAAGTATACAATATCATCAAGAGAGTAAAAGAATGGGAACGGAAACGGGCTGGTCACATAGCAAGAACTGATGGCAGGTGGACCAAAGCAGTCATAGAATGGATCCCACTTGGTAAAAAGTGTCCACACAAGAGACCTAAAACAAGATGGATCAATGGCATCAGCAAATTGTGGGCCCCATTGGCAAGATGATGATATGAAGATGATGATGATGATGATAGGCATTTAGAAAATAACTTCTTGGATCTAGTATGGATTTGTCAAAAATAAATTAGGCCAAGCGACTATCTCTAATATGACCACGGGATTGTGATGGACCTAGCATATTTTGATTTCAGCGAAGCATCCAATAAATTCCCCATTAGGTTCTACCAGAGAAGCTGATAACATGTGAATTAGAACATTACTGCCACTAGTTGAAAACGAGATGGCTGAACAACTGTAACCAATGGATTAAGCTGGAAGGTGTTGGGTTGCTTATCACAGGACTTTGTTCTAGGCCAGAGGTAGGGAACTATGGCTGGCTCAGGAATACTGGGAGTTGAAGTCCACAAGTCATAAAGGGGCCATAGTTCCCCACCCGTTCTAGCCTTTCTACTACTCAACATAAGATTCAGGAGGGTCTGGAAATCAGCATAAAGAATTTTAGCAGGGTCAATGTCACTTCCGACAGGAAAAATCAAAGGGATAAGCATAGGATGAGAGACCACCCTGGAAAGCAGTATTTACTGTTCCTTTTTATTCTACAATAGTGGCCAAAATTGTGGAAACCTTTTGGGAAAAGTGTATTTGTGAGGTTTGATGGCTAATAACACCACTTTTTGGGGGAATTTCAAGATAATCATATTCCACTGCTGGAATGGCCTGGGAATAGCCCAGACCTTCACCCAACTAAAAATCTATAGAGCCGATTAAAGCAACCCAGCAATAAAACCCAGTTAATAGAAGCAATCATTCAAAGAGCCTTGGTGGTGCAGCAGACTAAAGCATTAAGTAACACCAGCTGCCTGCAATTATTGCAAGTTCAAATCTCACCAGGCTCAAGGTTGACTCAGCTTTCCATCCTTTCGAGGTAGGTAAAATGAGGACCCGGTTTGTGGTGGCAATAAGCTGACTTTGTATAAAAAAGAACACTGCTTAGGGGGGCCCGAAAGTCCTACTAAGCAGGTATATACAAAAGTATGAAGGCTATTGCTTAACACATTGTAAGCTGCCCTGAGTCTCCGGAAAAGGGCAGTATATAAATTGAACCAATAAATAAAATAATAAATAAATCTTGGTTTCACATTATAACAGCTGCAGAACTAAAAAACTTGGTTTACTCCATGGAAGACGTTGTAAGGCCATAAGTCATGCTAAAGGTTACCCAACTAAGTATTAACTGACATGGTGATAATTTTTGTACATTTTGTTTTTTCTATGGTGATAATTTTACTTTTTCACTTTTCTTCTTTATACTGTATTTTAATAGCAAATCCTTCATAAAAGTTATTGCATTACATTCTTGATTAAATTATCTTTCCATTGATATATAATGTTATGGTACTATTCCAAAAAAAAAGTGGTGTTATTGGCTAGTTTTAGAAAATACACTTTTCCCAAAAGGTTTCAACAATTTTGACCACTGCTGTAAATTGATCAGAATGTAGTGTATAGACCCGGGATGGTGAACCTATGGCACGCATGCCACAGGTGGCACACGGAGCCATGTTGCCTGGCACGCCAGCTCAGCTCTGGCCAGCTGATCTTTGGGCCTTCTGGGCCCACCAAAAATAGGGAAGCAGGTTGTTTCCTGCCTCCGGAGGGCCTCCAAGGGGGTGGGGAAGGCTGTTTTCGCCCTCCCCAGATGCATAGAGAGGATCTGGAGCCAGGTGAGAAAGAAAAACAGGCCTACTGGGCCATCGCATGCCAGGAGTGGGGGGGGAGGGGGATTGCGCAAGCATGCACAGGACGGGGCATATAGAATTATGGGTGTGGGCACACGCACATGCGAAACCTCTCCCCGCCCCCCCTTCCTGGCACGCGATGGCAAAAAGGTTAGCCATCACTGGTATAGACTATAAGTACTGTTTTAGAAAGGGCAATGATAAATTAAAACCCTTCCAAGATGACTGAGGGGCTGAAAAGAAAAACATAAGAAGAACTGCTAGAGACATTGATATATTTAACCTGGAGAAGACTTTGGGGAGACATGATCAACTTTCAGCATTTTACTATGACTTATGGGAATATATAAGGGATAAATCAGTATTTCAGGTGCCACTGAGACATCTCTAATGATGTCCATGCCGTCTTACCTCCTATCATTCACATATAAGTAAAATTCCATCAAATTAAAAACTTTTCATTGATTCTATACCTGAGTAGAGACATGAGAGGCAAAGAAGTCTTCTTCTTTCTCCTGAGGTGATAAAGGAGGGGCTCCGGAGCCATCTATCCATAACTAAAATATACAATAACATAAACACAAGTGAGACGCTTGCCAGGATTCTTTGCTTTTTGTTTGTTTAAAGTGCTTGTGCTGCATTTTTCATCTGTTTCCTAACGTAGAAAAAAAAATTGCACAACTGGCTTCCTGAAACAATTACACAATACTGGACAAATTGGCTGTGAACAAGATGAAATTGCCGATGCTTGTAATTGTAAAGCTTTAAGCTTTTCGGATCAAATTCAGAAAAGGTGATCTGGAGTGTACCCATTACAGGGAATCCTTGACTTACAACCATTGATTTAGTGATTGTTCAAAGTTACAACAGCAGTGAAAAAAAGTGATTTATGGCTATTTTTCACACTTATGACTGTTGCAGCATCCCCATGGCCATGGGATCAAAATTTGAACTCCTTGCAACTGACATGTATTTATGATGGTTGCAGTGTCCTGGTTCATGTGATCACCAGAGGTGAGTTTCACATATTTTTACCACTCGTTTGCCCCGCGCACGGTTGCTTCACGCGCAAACGCACCTCCCGGCCAGTGGTCAAATGTAAAATTTGTTACTACCGGTTCTGTGGGCGTGGCTTGGTGGTAGTGGAGTAATGTGACTGGGTGGGCGTGGCCAACTTTTTTTTTTTTATTTTAAAAGCAATTTTTCTACAACCTTAAGAGGTTGCAGAAAAAAATGCTTTTAAAAGGCTCTGACGATCCCAACCAAATTGGCCAAAAATAAAAGGGTTTTTTTTTTCCTTTAAAAGGTTTTTTTTTTTTTTTTTTTGCTTTTAAAAGAAAAAAAAGCCTCTGACGATCAGGCAACTCAGATGATATCATCAGAGTCTTTTAAAAGCATTTTTTCTACAACCTCTTCGGCTGAAGAAGTTGTAGAAAAAATGCTCTTAAAAGGCTCTGACAATCCCAGTTGAGCCGCACGATCATCAGAGGCTTTTTTTTTTTTTTAACTTTTAAAAGCATTTTTTTGGCTGAAGAAAAAGTGCTTTTAAAAGTTAAAAAAAGCCTCTGATGATCACACAGTTCAACTGAGCTGGGCATTGGGGGAGGGGGCAGGGATTTTTGCTACCAGTTCTCTGAACCACCTGCCACCATCGCTACCGGATCAGGCGATCCGGTCCGAACCGGGAGCATTTCACCCTTGCTCCTGGCGTTCTGCACATGCGCTTTGCTCACGTGCCTGCCTTCCGCACATGCACCCAGCCTCAAAAACATGGCTAAATAGGACGGCATAGCGCTGGGGCAGGTGGGCAGGCCCACCCGCGATCTCAGCTATCGGTTCACGCGAACCGGCTGAATACTACCTCTGGTGATCACCTTTTGTGACCTTCTGACAAGACAAAGCAAAGTCAGTGGGATAGCTAGATGCACTTAACAACTGTTTTATTAACTTAACAACTGCAGTGATTTAGAAAAGCTGTAAAATGGAGGCAAAGCTCAAAGCTAGTTAAATCTTGCTTAGCCACAGAGATTTTGGGCTTAATTGTGGTTGTATATTAAGGACTATCTGTACAGTTCTTTAAAGCAGAAGGACTTCTGCCCAGGATCTCAGCCCCAGCAGTTAGACTCAATCATTACAGTCAAATGCAACACTTTTTGCAAATTAATTGTAGGGATTCAACCAAGTGTATGAACACTGCCATACAACAAAAACAGTATGGTATATCTTTATCTTTGCATATGAACTGGTTGTATAAGCAGAAAAGCAAAGCTTAAAGATAATACTATTAATATTAAAAATACAATATGCTTTTTCTTTTCAAATTACCTGCAACATTTTGACATATATGATCATGATACCAATACCGTATCATTTTAGCTTTATAAACAAACATTGAGATGACTGAACAACACAAAGTCAGTAAGCACTGTAAAATATGTACATTACTCACATCTGTGCCATATTTCCGTGTTGCCTGAGCTGCAAGAGATCTAATCTTGTCTCGGTAGAGCTGTGCAGTACGACTGCTATACTTGGCATTGGTATCATTTGTGATGCAGCCATGCTGATGAAAGAATGCAGACTAAAAAGAAAACATTGAGAAGATGTGTTTTTTTTTAAAAAATAAAATATTTTAAAAATCTTCAATGTCATTGCTGACTAGTTCATTTTTTCAGAAGGTTGAAGAATACAGAATAACAGAGTTGGGAGGGACCTTGGAGATCTTTTGCTCCCTTTCACAGTTACTGCACCAGAAACCACCTATTCTATACCTGTGCACTTGGTTTTTCTTGCCTAAGTACAAAGTCTTACTTTTCTCAGCACTGAATTGCTGTTTGTTGGATACGGCCCGGTGTTCAAGTCTGTCAAGATCCTTTTGGATCTTGAGCTTGTCTTCCGAATTGTTCGCTATTCTCCCACCAGCTTGGTGTCATCTGCAAACTTGACGAGTTTCAATTTTATCTTTTCATCTCAACCGGGGTGGGCTTCAAAAATTTTAGCAAAGGGTTCTCTGCCTGGTTGCTGGGTGGGTGTGGCCATGGTGGGTGTGGCCTAGTCGGCCTCCTGCACCACAGTGTGGGGGAGGGAGTTTTTGCCCTCCCTGGGCTCCGGATGCTTTCTTCAAGCCTTCGGGAGGGCGAAAACAGTCTCCCCAGGCTCCGGAGGCCCTCTGGAGGCCAGAAATGGGCCTGTTTCCAGCCTTCCCGAACTTCCAGTAGGCCCATTTTTCACCCTCCCCAAGCCTCCGTGCGCGCCCTGCACTTACCTGAATCCAAAATAAGCCGCTTGGGGACTCCTGGGAAGGGTGGGGTGGGCGGGGCCAGCCAGGAGTGGGATTTGGGGGTTCTCCAAACTGCATATGATCTTAGCTAGAGGTTCTCCCGAACCCCTGCGAATCCCCAGCTGCCCACTCCTGATCTCAACCATTTATTTATTTATTTATTTATTTATTTATTTATTTATTTATTTATTTATTTATTTATTTATTTATTAAATTTATATACCGCCCTATTCCTAAGGGACTCAGGGCGGTGAACAGCGAACGATAAAAATACATGTAATACAAACGTTAATAAAAAACCAATTAAAATATACTAAACACTCTGGTCCTAGATAATTCAAGACATCCCAGTTTAAAATAAAATCAAAAAGCAATATAAAGGGAAAGTTAGGCCAGGCCAGCCTGCTGAAACAGGAATGTATGAATGTATGAAGATATTGAAGAGTAGTGGGCCTAAGTAGTGGGCCTAAGTACTGGGCATCCTTCCATCCATGTAGTTCCATTGAGGACTTACACGTTGAGTGTGATTGGTCAAACAGTTACATATCCAGCTGGTGGTGATGCTGTCTATATACCACATTTTTCTATCTTACCAAGAAGTAGCCCGTGGTTAAATGCTTTACTGAAGTCCAAGTATACTATATCCACCACATTTCCTTGATTCGTTAATTTAGTCATTTTATCAAAGAAAGCAATACAATTTATTTGTCATGACCTGCTTTTAACAACTCATGCTGACTTCTAATAATCAGCTTTTTCACTTCTAGGTGCTCACAAATCAGCTGCTTTTCTTTTCCAGGATCTTCCCAGGTATTGATGTCAGGCTGATTGGTCTCTAGTTTCTTGGGTCCATTTTTCCCCCTTTTTGAAGATTGGAACACATCAACTCTTTTCCAGTCCTCTGGTAATTTCCCCGGTAGTCTAGGATTTTTGAAATATATGATCCAGTGGTTCCGAAATTATGTCTGCCAGCTCCTTTTAGCATTTTAAGATTTTTGTTATCTTTTCCAGTTTCTTCTCTTCTCTTCTGCTGCCTCCAGGTACTGCCATGTTCACTAGCCACACTTTTTTGGCTGTTGTTACACACTGGTGGCCCATATTCAAGTGATCATCCACTAGCATTCTAAGGTCCCTCTCACAGTTACTGCTTTTCAGCCAGGTTTTGCCTAATCTGTACTTTGGTTTTTCCTGCCTTGGTGTAAAAGCTTCGTTTTCTTACAACACTTGTTTTTCTTGACTGTCTTACAACAGTTCTAATTGCAACTGTTAGGTAAATGCTGCATGATTGTTAGACGTGACATCGTATGATTGCCATTTGTGATCTGCCAGCTTCCTTTCTGACTTTGCTTATTTATCGCAAGCCTGCAGTGAAGGTTGCAAATGGCAATTAGGAAACCACAGGAGGAGGATTGTAATTGCAGGCCTGATTGTGCCCGAGTGCCCAAATTGCAATGATGTGACCGCAGGGATGCTGTGATAGCTGCAGCTGGTAAGTGTCTTCATTCACCACCATCGAAATTTCTGTTGCTGAATGAATAGTCGTTCACCGAGGACTACCTGTCATCAAAGCTTATTCCCTAATAGAATTGTGTGCATCAAGAGAATTCATGATGTGCCATGAAGTGGATATCGACTCTTAATGACCAAAAAGATGGCCCTTTTCCAGGATGATCTGTCCTCAGCTGGCCTCTTTAGCTGTTCCAATAGTGCACAGATTCCCGCTGTGAGATTGAGTCCATCCATTTTGCTGCTAGAACAAGGTTGAGCCTGAGGGCGGGGTCAAACGCATCATCAGTTTGGAATCCAATTGAATTATGTTGACTCTTATCTAGCACCAATTTGCCTTTTCCGTTAGCAGGTCAGATTCTTGTATATAGGTAGCATAAAATAAACTTGTACTCCTTTTGAACTCTATCCCAGTTCCAGGTTTCTTGCGCCTGACATGAGTTGCTCTCTTTTTCATTCTGTATTTCCCAACATGATAAACTTCTCAATAAAGCTTGGTTGTTTGCATAATGTATGCAAAGTTTGATAAAGGTAGTCCTTGACGTACGACAATAACTGAGCCCAAAATTTATATTACTAAGTGAGACATTTATTAAGTGAGTTTTGCCCCATTTTGCAACCTTTCTTGCCACAGTTGTTAAGTGGATCACTGCGATTAAGCTAGTAATACAGCTGTTCAGTGAATCTGGCTTCCTCATTGTCTTTGCTTGTCAGAAGGTCACAAAAGGCGATCACATGACCCCAGGACACTGCAATTGTCATATATATGAGTCAGGTGCCAAGCATTTGATCACGTGACCATGGAAGTGTTGCAATGGCCCTAAGTGTGAAAAATGGTCATAAGTTACTTTTTTTTCAGTACCGTTATAACTTTGAACGGTCACTAAACAAATTGCTGTAAGTCGAGGACAACCTGTAATTTGGAGCCTGGTCATTGGTGTCTTAAGTAAGAACTCTGGGTTGATTTATTCTACAATTCAATTCTTTATTTTCCTGGCTATCCTTGATATATCAGGAGTCTACCTCATCAAGACCATTTTAAAGCATCAATACTCTTTTTATTTTTTCTTCAGGATCCAACTTTTGCTTCCGTAGAATGTCACGGGGAAAACTATTGCCTGGATGATTCTGATCCTTGTAGGTATAGATGCAACCCAGCATCTGAGTATCTTTTCCAGGGTATTCATTGCTACTATAAATGATGACCTGCAGAAACATGCTGGTAGCTAGCTCCTTTAATGTTGATAGCTGATCCAAATGGCAGGAGTCATCCATTATTTCAGCACTATCAATTCTAAGACTGTTGCTAATCTGTTGTCATTAATTTGATTTTCTTTGTATTTCATTTTAGTTCCACTTTTTTACTGTGCTCCTTTATTTTCAATACTGTGGCTTCCTGCCCAGGTTCCACATGAGGACAATGAGATCTCCATTTTATTAAGTACATTCCACAGCTGGATATTATCAACACAATTAAAGGTCTTTCCATAATCAATGAAGTACATATTTATTTTCAGTATTCTATAGTTTCTCAATTATTCAGTGTGCTTCAGTAATAATGTCTCCATTTATTTGCTGAAACCAGCATTAATATCTGGCATCTCCCTTTCCACATATGGTCTTAATCTACATCGGATGCATTTGTTTGGCTAGCAGGTGAAATTAGGAATATTGTACAATAGTTTGCACTCTCTGTTAAGATTCTATTTTTGAACACTAATTTGCAGACTGACTTCTTCCAATCTTTTGGCCATTGTGTTTTTCTTCACATTTTCTGGCATAATATGGTTCAAACCTTTACCTATTCTTCTTCTATAATTGAAAATATTGAAAAAAAAATCCCTACTCTATTAAGCTAAGTAATATAGTAGCAGTATTACATATAAGAATTTGGACACATAAGTGATGAGATGAATTTAAAGTTTGTCATTTCCTATTTAAATAACTTTACCCAAGCATAGCTTCACATTTCTGATTAGTATCTATTAGTAGGACTGAATGCCAAAATTTCTGAACCTTTGCATTCCACATTAAAAATCTGCATAATTTAGGCAAAAGAGTATATTTTCTTATTTCACTCTTATTTTATTGCTGTTTTGGATAATTAGTTTTTTCTGATAAAAATTAGAATCGGCTATCATCCCAATATTATTGAATACCTCAGGTTTCACTTGGCTTAAAGCTAGATTTCCTGAAACCAGTGACAATCAATTTAACTCCCATTGCTTTCTAAAATGTCTATTCGTTTATCTGGATTCTATGCATACTAAGATTTTTATGAGTTACGTTTTGTGTATTTTCTATCCTTTGATATAACTGTAAAAAATGCTTAGAGCAGCTAACAGGGTACTGAGTTCAGCAATCTTGAAAGAAAGAAACAAATGAATAAGAAGCCAGAACTATCTTATTCATTTATTTTCCTGGTTTTCAAGATTGTGAAGGCATATGTGGCAGTTTGATCAAAGAATAGAAAATACATGAAATGTAACTCATAATATGCATAGAACCATGATAAATCAGTTAATAATTACTGATTCCTAGCAACCAAGAAAAAAAGTCGAGCGAGTTTTAATGTACTTACAGCATTTGCATTTCCTCCAACTTGCATGCACCTCAACTGAAACCATGACCAGTTTGAGTCTAATTCTGTAGATCTAAAATCAAAAAATAGAAGTAATTTCTGAAGAACTATTTAATACCAATAGTAATAGCACTTAGGCTTATATACCTCTTCATGGTGCTTTACAGCCCTCTCTAAACAATTTATAGAGTCAATATATTGCCCCACAACAATCTGGGTCCTCCTTTTACCGATCTCGGAAGGATGGAAGGCTGAGTTAACCTTGAGCCGGTGAGACTCGAACTGCCGAACTGCTGACTTATCTTGCAATACTGCACTCTAGCCCCTGCACCACCACAGCTCTTTAAAAAGAACAACAAAGCAGCATATATTTTGAAATGCACCAAAAGCAACAAGGAGGCTTGGGGACATGTTAGAAATAAAACAAAAGCCAAAGAGGATACAGACCCATTGAAAAAAACAAGGTACCATATTTTTGGGACTATAAGACGCACCGGAGTATGAGACACACCAAGATTTCGAAGAGGAAAACAAGAAAAAAAAAACGTTTTTGGCCTCCCCAGGCCCCAGGAGCACTCTACAGGCCTCCCAAACCTTCTGCGTGTCCTATTTTTGCCCTCCCCGGCCCCCAGGAGTACTCTGCAGGCCTCCCAAACCCCCTGCACGTTTTTAGCAAAAACGGGACATGCGGGGCGGGGTTTCGGGAAGCCAAAAATGGCTGTATTCAGTGTATAAAATGCACCAACATTTCCACCCTCTTTTGGGGGGGAGTGCATCTTATACTCCAAAAAGTATGGTAGTTAATTGTAATGAGCCATGGTGAGGATTTTTAACTTTTTAATTTTTCAACTGTCCTCTCACAGAAACGAAATGGAGGGTTAGCTAGTGGGGAGAGGGAGGAGAAGGGCCTAGGAAACTTTCTGCTTGAGATCTATACAGGACAGGTTCCTCAAACATGATCAAATAATAAGTGAGTACTTGGACAGGCATGCTACAATTAACAGGAATCAACAATTCATGCCAAGCCAATTTCTCTTTCTTAGGTAGAATTACTAATTCAGTAGATTAGGAGAATATCAAAGACAATACATCTGGATTACACCAGTTTTTAAGATAATGCCTCATGGTATTTTTCTTCATAAAATGGTAAAGCATAGGCCGAATGCCCTACTTAGTATTAGATGTACTCACAATTGAGTGAATGAGCACACCTAAGAATACCCTTCAACCTAAAAGCAACTTATGTGGAGTGTCTTAGGTCAACATTTTTAGCAATGTTTTGGATGAGCAGGTTAAGGAGGATGGATGACACAAAATTAGGAAAGGCAAATTGTTTAGATGATTATAATGAAATATGGTTATTCTTTATTGAAACCATTGTAGAGATGTGGTGACACTTAAAGTGAGATGGGTGATGTAAAAATTTAAACAAACAAATAAATAAATAAATAAAATAGAACTATATATACATAATATACACAAAGAAAATTTATATCATGGTTATTTTGTTCTCCTTTTTTCTATCATTTTTTTCCTTATTCCATTTAGTTAAATAAATAAAAGTCTTGAAGCAAGATCCAAGAAGGTCTAGAGTGGCTTGAAGTATGGAGTGAAAAGAGTAGAATGGAATTTGACATAGAGAATTTAAAGTTCTGCATCTCTGATAGGAAAAATGTAAACTCTGGGTATCCTGGTCAACACAAAGTTAACATTAATTCAGTGTAGTGTGATGCTTTTGCTAAAAACAACTGCTGTCTTGGCACGTTATTATCAAAAATATAAGTCCACATCATAGAAAATAAATGATTCCACTCCATTTTGCTTTGGTCAGGTTTTATTTGGAATACTGTGTCCGGTACTGAACACCATAGTTGAAAAAGGACAGTTACAGATTAGAACAAGTTCAGAAGAGGATTTCCCAGATGGTAAACAGCCTGGAAATCAAGCTCTATATGGAATGGTTAAGGTTTTGGGAAGAAAGCTATGATGGTCTTTTTTATTAACCCAGATGTAAGACAAGAAGCAGATCTTTTCACCACAATTTAATTAATTAAACGGAACTGAGGAGAGAAACAGGTTGGTTATCCCTTTCATACTTAACACTGAAAAGGTGTATAACAGTGATGGTTATAAGACCGAGTGCCGAAACTAGAGCGTTGAGTGCATGCGCATGTGCACACGTGCGTGCAAGAGCGCCAGAAACTGGCCAGCTGCTCTTCCCAGTTCCATTGCGCGCATGACCCGCTGGACAGCTGGTCTGTCGCGCATGTGCACCAGCCAGCTGCTCTCTTCTGGGTTCCGGCATGCGCATGCACAATAGCCAGGACCTGAAAGAGAGCAGCTGGCCGGTGCGCATGCACACCGGACCAGCTGGCTGGCGCGCCTGCGTACCGGACCAGCTGGCCGGCACGCATGTGCACAACAGAACCTGGAAGAGCAGCTGGCCACCGTGCGTGCCCAGAGAGGGATCTACGTGCCACCTCTGGCACACGTGCCATATGTTCACCATCACGGGTTTATAAGGAATCAAGCATTTCCTTCTGAATACTTGCCGCATGGTTTTTGAAAATACCGTGAACGGGACAAGAGGAGCCAGGAAAGAGGTAAGATACGCAAAAAGCATTATTGGCACACAAAACAAATGAAATAATATTCAACTTGATGGAGAGCCAATGAGTTACTGAAAATATTTTAAAAGCTAAATTGTCAATTGCAGAACAATCGCCCAATGAGTATGTGAGTATGTGAGTATTCGACTTTACAGGAGTTGGATTATCAAACAAAAACAGCCGATCTTGGGAAAGCTACTGCTATATTTGATACATAAGCTTCACCCATTTTAGTTGGAAACAATTATAGGATTGTTCTTTATCAGATCTGCAGAACAATATTCACAGTAAAGCTGAAGATATTTCAATTTATGAAGAGAACTGCAGTTTACAATTCAAAGGAGGTAAGGCATAAAGCCCTAAAACATAATAGAAGAGCTGCAATTGATATTAGATACCAGTACAGCTAACAAATCATGCAAACATTTTAAGAACAAACAAAAGTTATGAGAGCATATATGTCAGAGTGACCAAAATCAGTTTAAATATTAAACTAAAGTTTAACTTGAAAATGAAATTCTCATCTGATACTCTGTATTTTGAAATTCATATAAGATGTACTTTCATGAAAGACATGCCAGACTATTTATATTTATTTTGTATCGGTGCACAATAAAGATAGCTAACAGGAACGACAGACAGTTTCAAACCAAGAAGCATCTCTTCTACAAGATGAGGAAAAATATATGTAGATATACTCAGGAAAATATCCCCCAAGAATGAACCGCATGCATTGCTAGATGAATTGCTTACCGAATGAAACTCAAGTGAACTCCAAGTGAGCGATGAGTCCCAGAGCAGTCAATACAGAGGAAAACTCCATATGTTATGCTTGCCCAGCTTGGATTTTTTGCTCCACAGTCAAAACATAACTAGAAAACAACCACAATTTAATTGTTATTACACAGCATACTTTTGTCTCCTAAATAAGAATGATCTGCAAAATGCACACAGAATGCAAATATCACTCATCAATTTAGCTGCTTCTTAGGTACAACATTAGGGAAATGTTACTTTTAAGAATTCAAATCAAACAAATGGAATTTAGGTCCAACTGAAAGTTAGTTATTTATTCATTTGCATTCATTCATTCAATTTCTAGAATGGTAGTCCAAATAAAATCAAGGATAAGAAAGTTTAACCGACTTGATGTATATCCAAAATTATTTGGGCTGCATTTGGGCAACAATTTAGTTCCTACACTAGGAACTGCATTTAATTTTAAGAAGGTACTACTTTTATATAAGATACTATTTAAAGAGCCTAATCAAAGTATCTCCCATAAAATAAGCATGTTTTCCTATTTCTCAGCTCTTCATAGGCCGCTGATTGATCACTGTGAACTTAAAGACAAAAAAACTCAGAGGCTTTTGGTTTCATCCTGCACACTTCACCAGTCTTCAAGACAACTTGCTGACATTTCTTTGAGAGCAACAATGAACATACGAATCCCAAATATTCCCTTTTACTGAAGTCCCCATACCTTGTTCCCAAACCAACTTGCATAAAATAACCTTGATCTCAGAATCTAATGTATCCATATTATGGACACAAACAATTGCATTAAAATTCTGTTCAATGCTTAATTAAGAACTCATTCAACTAAATAAATTGGTTTGCTCTGCTCGCTGCTGCCCTTTATTTCTTCATCTTAACAATGGCATTATATTTTTGTGAACTTGATTCATATACACCATTAAGTTCCTTGCTTAATTATTGGAAAAAATTCTAAAACACTCTCAAAATGAGCGTGCGGCTTCAAAATGATCTTCATAGAATACAAGGGGATATAATTATTTGCTACTTTAATAATCTAATAAAAATAATTTCTGTCTAAATATTCAGAAGCAAACAGAAATACCTGAAGATAAATTGGCACTGAAGCTTGCATTGCAAAAACAATTGTTTTGACACACATCCACTGAAAAGCCATTTTCAGTCAACTCATCAATTTCTAGGTTAAAATTAAAGACTGCATTCCACACAGTGATGTAAACATATGCTACTGGAATCGACAAAGGGAACTTTGAACTTGGGATTCCAACACAGAGGAAGTGAACATTAATGTTATTTTTAAATGATATGGCTAGTAAAGATTTAAATATTCTATAAAGTATTCTCCCATAGTACCACCACCAACAAAAATCATTAAAATATTTTTGTCTTGGATTAACATTATTATATCTTCAAGCCAGGGAAAGAACAGAAAAAACAGCATGTTCTCATGAGTATACAATTACATTGCTTACAAATGAAAACTGGCTAGAATGTGAGACTGGCAAATGATGGCAGCATCCCACAATATACAGTGGGGCCAGGAATTAATAGGATTGGAGTTTAGGTGCAACACTTCTGAGTGATAAAATAAGACATCTATGCCAGGAAGTCTCTGGGGTTTTGCTTTTTTTTATTCCAATAATGAAGGTGTGTAAACCTATTCTGGAAAGTGCCTAAGATTTAGTAATTACGGGAAAGCCACTGTGACACAATAGTCGAGTCTTCTTCTAGAAGTAGAGATCCAGGTTCGAATCCACTCTCATGCAGAAGCTGGCTGACTTGGGCCACTTTGCTACTGTGATTTTATTGAAATATTTTCTTCACATAGCTGAGTAAAATTTCCCTTTAGATGCAGCTGAAATAACAGGCATGAATCCAAGTCTCAGCATTATTATTATTATACAATGTGCTTTTCTATTGAAGGACATGAGGGGATGACACCAATATCTTCATACCACCACTCTGCAAGGTGCAGAGACTGTCTTTAAAGTCTTCTACCTGAACGGGGAACTTGATCTTGCCTCTCCCAAGTTTAATGCCCAAACCTGTACCTTTAGCAATAGAATAGAACAGAACAGAACAGAATAGAAGATGGGATGGGATGGGATGGGATGGGATGGGATGGGATGGGATGGGATGGATGGAATGGAATGGAATGGAATGGAATGGAATGGAATGGAATGGAATAGAATAGAATAGAATAGAATAGAAATAGAATAGAATAGAATAGAATAGAATAGAATAGAATAGAATAGAACAGAACAGAACAGGAATTCTTTATTGGCCAAGCGTGATTGGATACACAAGGAATTTGTTTTTGGTGCATTCAGTGTACATAAAGAAAAATAAAATAAAATACATTCATCAAGAATCATAAGATACAACACTTAGTGATAGTCATAGGTTACTAATAAGCAATCAAATCATAACAGGAAACATATAAAACAATATAAATTGTAAAGATACAAGCAGAGAGGTTACAGTCATAAGTGGGAAGAGATGGGTGATACCAACGATGAGAAGACTAATAGTAATGCAGACTTAGTAAATAGTTTGACAGCTGAGGGAATTATTTGTTTAGCAGAGTGATGGTGTTTGGGGAAAAAACTGTCCTTGTGTCTAGTTGTCTTGGTGTGCAGTGCTCTATAGCGTCATTTTGAGGGTAGGAGTTGAAACAGTTTACGTCCAGGATGTGAGGGGTCTGTAGATATTTTCACAGCCCTCTTTTTGACTCCTGCAGTATCCAGGTCCTCAATGGAAGGCAGGTTGTCAGCAAAGGATGGTGCTAGAGAAATGGTTAGCCCAAAACGCCTTCCCAGATGGTGGGGTTTTTTTCTTTCCGATTTCCAAGTCTTATGATTTCCTACAGCCCCATCCAAATATTAACTCTATTTATAAACTTTTTTCCCCCTCCAGTAAAGCAGTAAATCCTGTAAAATGGGTGACTGGACCCATCCAGGCAATCCCTCTTGGGAACAAACTGCCTTCTTCAGGGATGTTTCTCAGCAATCTCCCCACCTTCAGGTTTCTTGGGGGGTCTCCCCCTTCTCCCCCCCTCAACCGCCACCCCCCACGATAAACACGCTGGGCTTCCCGCCCCCCCCCATCACCACCACACACACACACACACACACCCGCCCTCGCTCCGCCTCTCGCCGCCTTGCAACGTGTCACTCGGAAGCCTGACGCTCCGCTTCCTCTGCCTACCTTGTTCGTGGCGACGGCGCGGAGCCGCCTGAAGACCGTCACCAAGTCGTGTTTGCTAGGTTCGCACATCCCTCCGTCCGCGCACCCTATTTTTTTGGGGGGGGGTCTCCGCGGGGCTCGCTGACGTTGCAAACGATCCTCCTCCTCCTCCTCCTCCTGCTGCTGCTGCTGCTGCTGCTTCCAGACCGGCGGAAAACAAGAGACGGGCGACGCAGGCGCGTTGAAGCCTTCCAGGGAACCAGGACAAGCTTTCGCCACTTCCCCCGCCCACCAAAGGGGAGGAGCTACTTGGCGCGCGGGCGGGGGGCGGCCCCACGTCGCGGAGAAAACGAGAAGGAGAGAGGCGCCCGGCGGGTCCCACTGCCGCTGATTTGTCCGCCGCGGATTGGATTGGAGGGCGTCCCTCAGACGACCCCGCCCACACTCCTCCTCCTCCTACCACTCCCCGCCCGCAGCCGCGCGTGATACAGAAGGCGTCCCGTTGCTATGGAGATCTCCGGAGGCGTCGCGGATGACGTCAGCTGCGCTGGGCTGGGCTTCATTGGGAGGTGGGGCCTAAGAGTATTGATGGTGGGGGGGTGGAGTTGGGTTGGTTTGGTTTATTTTGAGTGCTGGCAGCTGGCTGGATCATTTAGGTTGGGGGAGATCAGCAGAAACCTACCCAGTCCCCAGGCAGTAGCGGATCTCGACAAGATCCGGAAAGAGGTGCAAAAGCCAGTCATTCCCAGGCGAAGGACAACAAAGAATGTTCTTTCTTTGTTTCTCAGGAAACTCAAACTGTTCAAGGAGCTGAGGAAGTATTGAGTCTGTCATGTGCACCTCCATAACTGTCTGATTTGGTTCTGCAACCCAACAAGACAGACACAGACTTCTGAGTATAATTAGAACTGCAGAAAAAACAATTACTACCAACCTGCCTTCCATTGAGGACCTGTATACTGCACGAGTCAAAAAGAGGGCTGTGAAAATATTTATAGAACCCTCACATCCTGGACATAAATTGTTTCAACTCCTACACTCAAAACGACGCTATAGAGCACTGCACACCAGAACAACTAGACACAAGGACAGTTTTTTCCCCGAACGCCATCACTCTGCTAAACAAATAATTTCCTCAACACTAGCAAATAATTTACTAAGACTGCATTACTATTAATCATCTCATCTTTCCCACCACCATCTCCTTCCAGTTATGACTGTATGACTAATTTTGTTGCTGGTATCCTTACGATTTATATTGATATTGTTTCCTGATTGCTTATTTGTACCCAATGACTATCATTAAATGTTGTACCTTATGATTCTTGACGAATGCATCTTGTCTTTTTATGTCCACTGAGAGCATATGCACCAAAGACAAATTCCTTGTGTGTCCAATCACACTTGGCCAATAAAGAATTCTATTCTATTCTATTCTATTCTATTCTATTCTATTCTATTCTATTCTATAGATTCATCCAGTGGTCGAACTCTGCTTGGGAGGGGGCTTCGGTGCACCCCTTCGAGTACTCCTCCCCCCACTCATCCTCTGCCGAGAATGGTAGCAGACAGGTTGTCAGGCCTGAGGAGCTCCTGGATTACCTTGAAAATCCTCTACCCTGAAAGGTACTCAGGGTTGATCTTTTGCGAGCTTGGAATTTAAGATTGAGTCTGTACAGGTAGCCCTCAATTTACCAAGGTTCGCTTAGTAACCAAAGTTACAACGTCACTGAAAAAAAGTGACATATATTCATTGTTCACACTTATGATTGTTGCAGCATTCCCCTATGATCATGTGGTTTACCATACATTCAGATACTTGACAACTGGCAGGTTAATGATGGTTGCAGTGTCCTGGGGTCACATGAGATCCCCTTTTACGACCTTCTGACAAACAAAATCAATCGGGGAACCAGATTCACTTAACATCCATGTTACCCTATCTAGACCCCTACCAATCGGGCTTCAGGCGCGGACACAGCACGGAAACAGCATTGGTCGCCCTGGTGAATGATCTCTGGTGGGCCCAGGACAGGGGTTATTCCTCTGCTCTGGTCCTACTTGACCTCTCAGCAGCTTTTGATACCATCGACCATAGTATCTTACTGAGACAACTCGAGGGGTTGGGAGTGGGGGGCACTGTCTTACAGTGGTTCTCCTACCTCTCGGGCAGTACGCCCGAGAGGTAGAAGGGGGGCAGAGATCCTCCTCCAGGCCCCTTACTTGTGGGGTTCCTCAGGGTTCAGTTCTCTCCCCCTTGCTCTTTAACATCTATATGAAGCCGCTGGATGAGATCATTCAGAGTTTCGAGGTGAGTTACCATCAATATGCTGATGATACTCAGCTTTACATCTCCACCCCTGACCAATCCAGGGATGCCCTTTCCATGATGTTTAAGCACCTGGAGGCGGTGGGGGTTTGGATGGGCAGGAACAGGCTCAGACTCAACCCCTCCAAGATGGAGTGGCTGTGGATGCTGGCATCCCAGGATCTAGTGGCCTCATCACTTTTTATGGGAGGGGAGTTGTTGACTCCCTCTGATAGGGTTCGCAACATTGATGTCGTCCTCGATTCATGGCTGTCCTTAGTGGATCATCTGACAGCCGTGTCCAGGGGGGCTTTTGCACAGGTTTGCCTGATGCGCCAGTTGCGACCCTTCCTAGATAGGGATGCCCTCCATAAAGTCACTCACGCTCTTGTTATCTCTTGTTTGGACTACTGCAACGCTCTCTACATGGGGCTGCCCTTGGGGTGCACCCGGAGGCTCCAACTGGTCCAGAATGCGGCCGCATGGGTTGTTACGGGAGCTTCCCGTTACTCCCAGGTAACACCTCTCCTGCGTGAGCTGCACTGGTTGCCGGTGGTCCTTCAGGTCCGCTTCAAGGTGCTGGTACTTACCTATAAAGCCCTTCATGGCATGGCCTGTGGTACTTGCAGGAGTACCTGCTACCGCCCTCCCACCGCCCAGTGTGCTAACATAGGACTGCCCTCCTCCGGGTGCGGTCTGCCAGACAATGTTGGCTGACGGCGCCCAGGATGAGGGCGTTCTCTATGGCCACACCGACCCTCTGGAATGAGTTACCCACTGGGCTCCAGAGAGCCCCTGACCTCCGTTCTTTCCGCAAAGACCTGAAGACATGGCTTTTTAAACAAATTGTCTGATCTGTTGGGAGTTTTAATTAATTGTGGGATTTTAATTGTATTTTTTATTTAACTTTATTTATTGTTATTGTTTTTACTCTACATGATGGTTGTGAGCCGCCCCGAGTCCTCCGGGAGAAGGGTGGCATATAAATTTTAATAAATTAAATTAAAATTAAATTACCCATTTAACAACGGCAGGGATTCACTTAACAAATGAAGCAATAAGAGTTGTAAAATGGGACAAAACTCAATTAACAAATTTCTCACTTAGCAACATAAATTTTGGGCTCAGCTGTGGTCATAAGTTGAGGTCTACCTGTATTGTTTATGATGTTGTCATAGGCTGGACGATGACAACATCATAAATAGCAAACAACTTCTCGATCGTTATCAAGAGAGTGTTCCTGAAATCAGCAGGAGTTAAACTTAACTGTAGTATTGTTAACTAAAAAGGAGAAACTGTTTCTAAATGATGTTTTGATTACTGCTCTCCTGAACAGAAGTCAAATCATGGAATGATAAAAGATATTGACATCTTGGGTTGTCAACAAACATGTATTATGTATTTGTTTATATTTAGAGACTGCCAATCTCCCTCATAGAATGGCTTTCTATCCCATCTTTTATTATTTTTATGCCTAGCTCAAGGCTTTACTTTTGCCAGTGAATTGTAAAGGAAATTAATATACTTTTTTTAAAGTAAGTAAATAGCCGCAGGCTTGTTATGCCCTGCTCTTCATCATCTGCAAGAAACCACTAGGAAAGTTTTATCCACAGGCATAACATCATCAGCGTGCTAATAATATCTAGATTTACATTTTCACGCCAATCCAATCTAGTGACATTGGGAAAACCTTGATTTAGTATCTGGAAGCTATGAGGAAGCGGATGGGAAGTAAAAGCCCAATTTAAATCCTGGAATGTTGAAGGTGCTGTTTTTCCAGAAACAATCTGGCTTTCTTACCATTTCCAGCTATGATGCTCTCCAGAAGGAACCCACTCATGACTTGGGAGTTGTTCGTGGTTTCTGCTTGAGAATCAGTTGGAACTATAGTGGGGCAAGTGTTACCTAGCTTTGGTTGGTAGACCAGGAATTCCTGCAGACTTAAAGACTAAATCTTTATGTGTGTCACTTCTAGAACAGAGGTGGGTTTCAGCAGGTTCCGACCAGTTCTGGAGAACCGGTAGCGGAAATTTTGAGTAGTTCGGAGAACCGGTAGTAAAAATTCTGACTGGCCCTGCCCCCATCTATTCTCTACCTCCCAAGTCCCAGAACTTGGAGGAAATGGGGATTTTGCAGTAACCTTCCCCTGGAGTGGGGATGGAATGGAGATTTTACAGTATCCTTTCCCTGCCACGCCCATCAAGTCACACCCACCAATCCATGCCACACCCACAGAACTGGCAGTAAAAAAATTTGAAACCTACCACTGTTCTAGAATATACTAATACTACAACAATGCGACACATTAGCAGTACCCCATATATGTTCTAAGGCAGGGGTGTCAAATTCAATTTCATTGAGGGCCGCATCAGGGCTGTGGTTGACCTCGGAGGGCCAGGCAGGCGTGGCCAACTGGATGGGTATGGCCAACTGGGTGGGCATGGCCAGCTTGACACCACTCACTGGGCATAGCTGACTGGATGGGTGTGGTCGACTGGATGGGCGTGGCCAGCTTGATGCCATTGCCCAAACTGCTGGCATGTTTCCTCTTCGCATTGGGTAGACCAAGTCGAAGCGATGCGGGCTGGCCCCTTATATTTTCCAGGACGGCCCCATGGGCGGCATTTGACCACATCGCAGGCCGGATTCGGCCCATGGGTCTTGTGTTTGACACTCCTATTCTAAGGGAATTTGTATTTAAGTGATGGCACCTCTTCTTTTCCCACGTTAGCTGTTGTGTTTGGTGCTTATTCAGACTAGTCATTATGCACCCACTACCTTGAATAAATAGGTTTAATTTCTCTCAGGATATAATCCAGAGAATATACAAATACAGTGCTTATAGTTAAAATAATATAGACCTTATGTGGTAGTAAATTTTTTGTTCAATTTTTTATTTTTAAAATACTGTACTGTCAAAAAT